GAAAAAGTTAAATATTATTAGAAACATTATATTTAGAAACACTATCCTTTTTTAAAAAATATATAAATTTTATGTATTAATTAAATTTCACATATGAATATAGGTTTTTGACATTGAGGTTTTTGACGTGACGGTTTAAACCATGGTTTAAACTGTCAAAAACTGTCACATGTCAAAAACCTGCCAACCCTGTACAATTTAAACTGAAATTATGGGACAATAAACATTTAAAGTTGAATTTTTTTTAAAAAAAAGGTATTTATTTAAAAAAATAATTTTAAAATTAAATCTTTTAAAAAATTCATTAATATACCTCCCTTCTTGAAAAGGGAAACTTATAAAAATTTAATCAGTTGAGAATAATACTAGCAAAATAAATATTTGTTATAATAATCAGACTTAAACCTATAAACATTTGTAATTTTACCAGTGCGTAGTTATTATTTAAAGAGTGAATTAAGCTTTTAAAATGGAATATGAATAAAAAGGCAGTTTTTTTAAGGGGTGGCGGCTTACTTTTAGAAAAAGGCCAAGTAAGATGCATTTATAGGGCTAAAAAAGCAGGCAGTGCAGTACGCCCTTCTAAAACTACTTGGGGAGAACACGTTACCCTTTTAAAAACTAGCATATTCCCGCCTCCATCATTTAGAAATTATACTGATATTTTCCAAATACTAAAAAACTATTGAATTTAATTTGTTTTGAGAATGCTCCTTGTAATGATGAAGAAGAAATGAGGATTTGTTGCAGTTCAGGACAAACCCATCAAATATCATGTTTCTTTTTTATACATCAGTTGATAAAAATGTTGAAACTTGTGGTGTTTTCAATTAGAGAAATGGTTGCAGGAACTGAAGATGTGCAATGAGATAGTGATGAGGAAAGTGAATTTGAATAAAACATGTGAAAACATTTACGGGAGGCCTCAGAGCCTTTGAAATAATAAGGAGCTTTCTGTATTTAAATTAAATTGCTAGAAATGAACAGCAATCTGTTATAAATGTCAAAAATTTATTCTTTGTGCTATCTGTGCCAAGAAGAGAAGGTGTTCGAACTAAAATTTCCAGAAATTTTAAATATGTTCTAATCATCCGTTTTTTTTGTGAAATATGAATTTATCTATTTTCTAAGTCCATGCTTCATCATTTTCATACATATTTTCACGTTTTGATATCCTTTGGGAAGCGATTGTTTGAGGTTCTACTTTAGTTATATATTTTTATTGCTTTTGTATTTATTTAATTTATTATGAAAGTTTCATTTAATATGTTTTCTATTTCAGGGTATTTTTGACAAAGTTGCATCAAAAGTAAAAGGTTTTCTAAATCCGTGGCTTTCCATTTGGAATTCAGTAACAGAAGAGGATTGCAGCAGCTCAAGTGACAATGAAGATGCTCTACAAGAACCAGAGCTTGTGCCTCAAATTACTTTGCAGAGTGCTAAAAGGCCTAGACTAAGTGATCATTCTCTGCCAGGGTGCTCTAGCAATTCACTGCATATTGAACCTACCCGAGAGATAGACTATACTTCATCTCTCCCTTCTCGGGGCATTAACAGACTGAAATTACATGAACATTCTGTGCCTGGTTGCTCAACAGATGTTTTTAGTCAAGCATCACAAGAACAGGACTATTCAATTCAGAACTCTACTCATGGTAGCAAAAGACAAAGACTGAATTTGGATCAAAATCCTAATCTTTTAAGTGCGGGTACTCAGACATGGCTAGAAGTGCCAGAGAGACCTAATCTTTATAGTCAGGCGTCTGCCCATATACCATCAAGCAATGTGCAGAATTCTTTAATTGAAAACAAAGATTCGTCTGTAATCCTAAATGGTAATGTTTCAATTTGCTGCTGATATTTTTTTGGTTTTTAGGAATATTAATTATAGGAAATTGAATATTGTAATAACATCTTTCTTTCTTTAGGATAGGGGTGCACAACCTGCGGCCCGCGGGCCAAATGCGGCCCTTCGACTGCTGAAGTGCGGCCCGCGAGAGCTTCTAAACACAGTAAAAATTTTTTAAAAAATGGCAATTTTTAATCGCACTTTTAAGTCATNTATGTCCTTTAGTGATAGTGTAAAACTTTTCTGTTTTTTGAAGTGAATTAAGAATCTGAAAGAATACAATATTAAATTTATTGGCTTGATTTAAATTAAAGTTTGGAAATTTTTTGACACATTACAGTTGACATTTTGACAATTTTTGACAGTTTTAGTGCTTATACCCTGAATAAAGTTTTAGTGACCCTGAATAAAAACATTGGGTCAAAGATTTTTTTTATGTGTTGATTATCAACATCATTGATACTGTTTATGGCATATAGTGTTTCAATTTATTAAAATTTTGCTGGTGTATTAATCTAAAATTACAAGTGTTTATATTTTGTTTCAATATGGAGATATACTTTAATTTTTGATTATAGTCTAATCTATGACAACTAAAAATCTTATACATTTATATATTTTCAAACTACAATATACAGAGAACTCATCGAAATTATAATAAGTGTATATTTTGAGCTAGAATTTCTACTTATTATTGATTATTATCAGATGTCCGTACAGGTCGAATTTACTACTGTTTTGCGGTACCTTCACAAATTCAACTTTAGGAAAAACGGTAGTTTCACAAAATACTTTTTTTACAATTTTATTTTTTTATCCCTTAAAAAACGATAAATTGATATTTTTGTGTTGATTTTATAATATAATTTTTAATTTTTCACAAATTATGTCTAAATTTTCACAAAATAGGTACCTCTCAGANCGGTACCTTCACAAATTCAACTTTAGGAAAAACGGTTGTTTCACAAAATACTTTTTTTACAATTTTATTTTTTATCCCTTAAAAAATGATACATCGATATTTTTGTGTTGATTTTATAATATAATTTTTTATTTTTCACAAATTATGTCTAAATTTTCACAAAATAGTTACCTCTCAGAAAAACCTAAGTTTAATGTTTCAAATATATTAAAGAAGAAACTTCACAGGCTTCACAAGTTTCTGTATATCCTTCTAGGTTTTTGATGGTATCGATCAGTTTTAGACATCAAAAACCTAACCTTGATAACAGCTATTCTAATTTAAACTATAGATACATGTCAAATTTCTGGAGTTTCTCTCCTGAATGCGATGATTTTTCTGGGAATATCATGGAATTCCGAGTCTCTTAAGATCATTAGTTCTCGGATTTTCGCTCATCAAAAAACTTATCATCTGTCAAAATTTTCTTGGAATTCTTCAATCTAATATTTAATTTTTAAGTTTTGCTGATTCCCGCTAACGAGACGCTTACAATTCATGTGATTCTTCTGAAAATGGGCAGAATTCCACAAATTCTTTTGGTTTGTCGAATTTTCGCCGTTTAAACTAAATTTGAAATTGCACCGAAAATCAGCTTATATTGCGATTCTTATTCACGCAATTTGAATATCAAATGTCGATTTTCATATTTACCTAATTTAAGTTACGGTTTGCTATTTGTATTTACATGGTTTAAAAAGCGTACATCGCGATTCATATTCATACGATTTTAAGATCCAATATCGTGATTTATATTCAAGATATCGATGTTTTGCAAATAAAATTTTCATTGTTTTTCCCTTTGTGTCACAATGTATTCATATATGGGTCATTCTCACGAAAACTGTCATTTTTCAGTTCATAAAATCCCAAAAAACTAAAGTGAATAAAAAGCTCTGAAACTTTCTATATTACTAGAAATATGTAATGGCATTATAANAATATTAGTGAGAAAATTAAAGTCAATTTAAAACTTAATAAAAAAAAAATTAAAAAGATATCCACTTAAAACTTTGTTGTCTTATTAGAAAGGTGTTGGTTTGGCAGCTTCTAAGGTCATTCTTTCTAAATTTTAATGCTTGACACTCACCCGATTTTCAATAAATGCACAAAGTATAATTGTTTTTTTTTTTTGTTGTTTCGAAAAAATTTTTGCTCCGATTTTTAGCTTTTTGTTTTGAATTTAAAATTTTGTAAGTGTTCAGAATATCTTATTTTCAATGACTACAATTACGAATTTTAAAATCTATTTGAAGAATTTAGAGATTTGGGTTTTTGATCCGATATTTTAAAATTAATTTAATTACAGTCCGAATTAAAATAAAATTCTTATTTAGAATCATTCAATAAATTATGTTCAACTTGTTATGCAAATGAGTAAATGCTTTCTTCTGCATTTAAGAAAACTATTTCTTCCAAGGGGATATTACCTTAGTTAGAAACTTGCTAACTTATAGAGAGAAATTGATATGATAACTTCCTTCACATGTTTCCTCTTCCTTATACTTTTTACTGGGCTGTTTTTCCTACTGTGAAAAAAACTGGCCAATCTTGGATTTTTGTTGTATGAGAAGGTATTTACGAAAATAGATTATGAGCAAGTTATTTCTTTCTAACTTGTAAAGATAATTTTGTGGCCCTGTATTGGTGTAAAACAAGTTTAGCTCAAAATTTCAACAAAAAAAAAAAAATATGTTCGTAATCATAAGCAAGAAAATAAATGTTCTTCTTACCTCAGAGGTAGGGATCTGGTGATTGTATATCTCTGTTGATGTTGCTATTGTTGTCTCATACTATTCAGTTTAATAATATTCAGAATATCTATTTTTATCTTTTATTTATGAACCAATTATTATATCACAAAAAAAAAAAAAAAANAAAAAAAAAAAAAAAAAAAAAAAAAAAAAAAAAAACAACTAAGTACAACATAACACACAGCACACTCAAAATAAACTACTATTTAACTACATGATTGCTATTATGTATCTCCTTTTAAGTTTTTCTATATTCAGCACTACACCTACGCTTTTTTCTACTGTGCGCGCCATCTCAATTTCAATTAAAAATAATTCACGTGGTGTTACCTGTAGGTTAAGAAACTTTACTTTGAATCATGTAAAAACTGCCATGCATGAAAAACAGATCAACTCTGTAAAATTCATTATTTTTAAACTTGCTTCATATTTTTTGTTTTAATTAGCAATAATCACCAATTGTTTTAATTCAGAAAATGAAACTAAATCTCCATTTTATTTTGTTCTATAGGTGATGATCATTCTGAAAATAGTGAAGGATCAGCATCTACAAGTGGTTGTTCCTCTCTTGTATCCCACAAAGATAGAATTAACTGTATGTCTTCAATTATGTTAAGTGAAAGTGATATAAAAAGTAGGAGAGATGCTGCTTCTCAGAAAGGAAAAATACCTGGTAAATGTTCTTAAATAAATTGCTAAGTAAAATTATTTTTGTTTCACAATCCGGATATTTAAGTAATATTTTTTTTTTTTTGTAATTGTTTATTATACCAGGGCTGTGGAGTGGGAGTCATGCATTTATTTATATTTGTAAGATCTGAAAGTTTATTTAAATAAAATTTTTTTAAACCAAATTTTGGATTTCGATCTCTACAATAGTATATTGAAGAGAAAGAGAATTAATTTTTCATCTGTGTTTAATAAAAAATATTGTTAAGTTCTTTATTGTGTCGTAATTTGAAACTGGTAAAAAAATTATTTTTCCCAACTATTGGATATCTGCAAGTGGTGTAGTGTGGGTATCTTGATCCTGATGGGTTGTTGAAAGGTGGCATTTGTTTCCATTAGCAACTGTTCGTTCCATTCTATTTCGAGTAATCCAAGCCTGTCGTGCACCTATTCTCGTAAGTGACACAGCCTATATTCTTTCACAAAGATTTTAATTGTTTCACTATGTATTTACACAAAGACTGGCACGAAGCCACGTAGAACATAAACTTATTATTAATCAAAGTTGCCAGGTACAAAGAACAAAAATATTTCATGGTTACAATAAAATACATAATCAAATAGGAAGCAACGAATTATATTTCGCAAATTCAATATCTGATACGGTTCTGTATTTAATTAACATTCTAAGTCATGTAGAGAAACTTAACTCAACTTTAATATGCCATTTTGGTGATAAAGATTAGCCGGTGATGTCTTAGCTCACATATGTGGATATAGATTGTCTTCTTGGAGTGCAAGTACCTAATTGTTTGCGTTTTCATTCAATAGTGAAAGTAAGCCATGTTTCTTAAATGAAGGAAGTTAGACAGATTTTTGTGTAAAAGGCTCCTAAGAAATTGAATTTTTTTTTTATAATGATAAACTGAGTTATTTTTATTTATGGATTATATACATTTATAAATATTTAGTTATTATTCATTTTATTGGCATATTGGTAAATAAATGAAGGAAAAAGAAGCTAGTCATTTGCTAGACAATGAGATCCTTCTCGGTTCCATTGTATGTAGATCCAAAACACTGAATTTTGTTTGAAGATTAACAAATTGAAAATGCAATGAAAGCCACCTATAAATTTTCACTAAGAATGAAATTATTTTCAGAACAATTGAAATTAGGATAGTCAGACTCTGCAGGGGTCTGTTTAGAAGAAATTTGGGTTCGTTAATGGACCCTTCACAAAATATCCTTTCATAAAAACGGACCCTTCCCAAAATAATTTATCTTTTAATCGGACCCTTCACAAATTTGTTTATCATCATTATTGTTTTGTTAATTGAATGAACCCTTCTCAAGGGGGGGGGAGAGAAAGACTGTTCTAGACAAACTAAGTTTCCCTTAGTTTAAATTCCAAGTGTAGTATTCTATGAAAATATTTCTACTTTTACAAACATTGTGTTCAAATTCTTATTAATATTAAATCATAATTATTTTTTTTTTGTAAATAAATAATGGATCAATTTATATTTACTCATAAAATTAATTAATGGAATATTATGTAAATAAAAATTTGTTTCTGGCAATTTTTTAAATAAAATATAAATTTAAGAATTGTTTAAGTTTTCTTCATTAAAAGTGATATAGTGAACCTTCAAGAGGCCTTCATTTCGGTTCACTATAACCGTGAGTTCACTATATCCATTACGCAGGCAATTCAACTAATGGTTCCTTAAATCCTCCCTTTTATTATACATTATTCAAATAAATAACTGAAAAATATTATGCAGTAGCAAAAAATTTGTTATTTTTTTTATTACTCTTCGTCTTGAGTACAAAAAAAAAAGTAGTCTCATAAAATCGCTTAGCAAATTCATCGACATTTGTGTAGATACTGGGAGATTGTGGCTTCTTCTAATGCTGAACCACTTCAGCAATGCTATTTTCTTCAACATCCTTGTGATCTGCTTTTCTCAACTTTTTTCTGGCATGTAAATTTTTTTCATGAGCAGAAATTATTAACTGCCTATTTTTTCATATGTTACAAACTGCTGATTTGGATAGTTTATATTCTCTGCAAATATCAGCTTGATTGCATCCGATTTCAATTTTTCTGATTATGCCCATTTTATCATCAACGAAAAACATTTTACGTTTACTGCTCGCCATAGTTAAATTTGAGGCACTTGTTTGCAGGCTTTTTTTAAAAAACTGAACTGACAGCAAAAATAAGTTGAAATGAGGGCCTTATCAACATGTATTAGTGTCCAACCCTTTGATCAATAATGACTCATTCCCTTTGACAGAAAATGCATATTTATCCCACTGACACTTTACAGGTGCACCATCATCTGCCTAGGTTGGAAACATCTGCTTGGTTTGTTTAGGGATGGGAAAGTGTGATAAAAGAAGCAAACAAGAAAAAATGCTTATTGCTACATTCCCCATTATAGATGGCTTTAAAACTCGGTATATGTATTTATTTTGAAGTAGAAATTTCAAAATTTTTACAAACAAATAATAAAAAAACTGCTGAAGACAGAAAAAAGTTCATTATATCCAACTTCTTCACTTTTTTGGTTCACTATATCCACAAAAATTAACATTATATGTGTATAGCAAGGCACGGAACCTAACATTTTGTTCACTATAAGCCATGTTCACTATGGCGGGGTTTGACTGTATTACTAAGTTGTGTAAAATATGTCAATTGAAATTGTTAAAAAGTTGAGTGATTTTGTTTCCATTATTCGTCCGAAATGAATATTCTGTATCGAGCAGTATAGGCTAAATACCAAATATTTGTGTCTTGCATCTCTAATTTAGTAGCAGCAATTGTTGAGCGGAATCTTATATCTATTTACAATTTAAAAACTTTTTGAAAAGGTTTTTAGCAATTTTTGAAATTGAAAGAAAGATCCCTAATAAAGCTGTTTCTCCTACTCAAGTTTGTGTGGAAAGACTATTCTCAGCTTAAATTTATCTAATCAGATCTACGTTCCTTTATCAAAGAAGATCTTGCGAAGCTATACTGTTTCGTAAGAATTACTAATGCCAATTTTTCCATTTCATAATAAATACTAATTAATTTAAATTATCTGCTATGTTGTAATTTTTTTTTTGTAGCATCTATTCTTTTATATTTACAGGGTATCTGCGCACTTGGAAAGTCATGAATTTTTATATTGAACAAAATTTGTCATGAAATGTCATGATAATTTGTTATGAAACCCCACTCACAGTCATGTTTTATTAAAATATAAAATGGTTTTTATCGTGTTCTTTAAAAGTTATGGTGTTCTTTAAAAAAATGAGGAAAAAAACATCATTTCTAGAGCAAATTATCTTCTAAACTTCTGTGATTTCAGAATTTTTGTTATTATTTATTATTTTTATTTCATCAATTTAAAATTTTTGCTGAAGGCAAGCCAGTCATTGGCGAATTTTTTTATTCCGAAATGAGAACAGAAAAATCAGGAGTATTTTTTCCCTTCCGATGAACAAGAAAAGTATCTTTAGAATGTAATTCCATAGAAAAAAAGAAGAAGAAAATTATTCCCTTTTGTATTTTTTTCAGCTATTTTATTGCTTCAACTCTTTATTTACTCTGTTTTTTAAATTGGAAATCTATAAATATGAAGATGCAGAGCGTAACAGTTTTGGTTATATCTATCATTTCAATTAATGTTATTATAATTCTTTTTTTTTTTAAATTTATTGTTGTGTTTTTGTTGGAGAAAATAGTAACTTCGTTAAGTCATGACAAATTCTTGGAATTAGTCTTGAAAAGTCATGAATTTTAAAATCTAAAATGTAGCAGATACCCTGTATTTAAAAAGAATAATACCTTGTTATGCATTTACATGTATTTGAGAGAGCTAAAGTATTTTAAGTTTAAAATTCCAAGAGTTTGAGTTGGTATTTTTTCCAGCGGACTTCACAGTTTTGATGGTACATTTATTTTTCTCAGGGTCAAACTGATTTTTTCGATAAATGAAACCCAAAGCAATTTTCTTTATACTTTTATTGACTTGACAGAAAGATGAACTTTTCTAATAGTATAAGATTAACTAAGATAAGATTTTCTAATAGTATAAGATTCTTAATAGTATAAGATTAACAATCATACCATTAATCTTGCACTGTTTAATTTATCTTATGACAGAATATCAATCATACATTTTATTTTATATTATTATAATCCAGGCTGAATAATCTATAATAATAGTTTATTCTTATTATTACGTAAAATAAGCTACATGTTTCCAGTCTATATATATTGTATTGAACTTGTTTTATCGTATTATTCTACATCGTATTACTTGTACTGCCAAACCAATGTGTCATTTTATTTTTATATAATTATATCTTAAAAATGAATTTTGTTAGTGCTATATTAAATATTTAAAATTACTAAATTAATCACTGTTTTATCTGAAAAATCTCTTATTTGCTTTTCTGTAGCAAAGCATATTTAAATGCTATATTAGCTGATATTAGCATTATTTTAGTAATGGTGTGCTTAAATGGGTAAAGCTTGTTATTTAGACCAGTACCCTTTTACTCTATGCTATGTGGTTGTGTAAAAAAATAAATGCTTCCATTCTCTGATTGGATTTCTAGAATGTTAGGTAAAGAAAAGTTGGGAACCTCTGATTTTGAACTGTTTATCAATTAACAGCCAAATAAAATCTGAAGGCTTAGAAGTATGTTGTATGAGGTCTCTGAAAATCGATAAGTGAGATAATAACTCTGTAAAATAACTTAGGATGCTCAAAAATACCTTTTGATCAACCTAAGATTATCCGAATTATCTAATATGTATTAATTACTTTTTACTTATATAGGTGATATTAACTGTAGCCGAATGTCTTTATGGTCATCAGGGGGAAGCTCAGCTGTAAGGTCTGTGAGATCCCCGACAGTAATGCAGACAAATCAACCAGGATTTAGTCTCAGCACATTTATTGGTTCCTCTAAGGTAAATATTTGACTCATTCAAGATCTATTAATTAATCTATCTGTATTTCAATCTTTTCAAGAGTGATTGAAGAAATTCTAAAAAAATGTGATGGGGATTAATCGTAAAATGAATGATGCATTGAAAAATTTTTAAGAAGTATAAATAAAAATTCTCACTCATGTTTTTTATGTAGTCAATCTGTTACATTTAATAATCTGTTTTTTATTTTTTTAAAACTTTATTTCAGCCATCTGATAGAAAAGTGGCTTCTCCTTTTTATCAAGGTAAAACATCATATGGTGGAGCTTCAGCCTCTAGAAGAATGCCACCCGCTGCTGCACCTTATCAGGTAATTTTTTGCTCAACATATATTAAGAATTCCAGGTATAAACTGTATTAAATAATGTTAAACTGTTAGAGTAAATGAAAATTTAGGTGATAGATGAAAGACTTTAATTTGAAAAGTATTAACAGATGATAGGTGTGCTTTGTTAACTATTTTTATTATGATACTTGACTTAATTACCTTATTAATTTAATAACTATATAACAGAAGATTTGTATTTCAGTTTTCTAAAAATTTACTACAATTTTAAACATGGATTGCCCTAAAATTTCTGATTTGTCTTGCCAGATTGGGCAAAAGAGGGTCTAAGTCTTTATCATTTTTTAATGCTCAAAGAGGGTCTTTATCATTTTTTAATGCTAGAAAAGGATAAAATATGTGAGATTCTCGCGCTGTAGTGAAAACACTGATATATATATATGTGCATACCTATCAACTTATACAGTATTTTACTCAATTGTATAGTCAAGCAATACAATACTCTGATAGCATTTTTTCTCCCTTCTAATTAACAACATGGTTTTTATATAATCGTTTAAATTACTTTTTTATATGCTTTTATAAAACATGTGCGATGTCCACGTTTGGTAATCAGATTAGTATTTTGAGCAGTGTATATGATGAGGCGACATATCTAATGAAATACTGCTTTTTCGTTTTTTAATCATATTTCACAGCTGGGTCATCATATGCACTAGGTAGGCCTTTCTCAGCAAAATTAATATACATAAGTAAATGCCTTTTTTTTCTTATATGCATTTATAAAAGTCCATAAATGTTTAGTCACTTTCTTTTCTGCTCTGGATAAAGTATTGATTGGGTTTCAGATGATGGTTATTTCAAAAGCTGTGTTGACAGATCTCATCTCCCATCAGTAGCCTTGCCTTTTGTTTTTACGAACAACTATTTAGCAAGAATTCTTGTAGTATTTCTGTTTAAATGTTATGACTTTTTATTAGAGTTCAGAAATTTTTTTAATTGATTTCCTTTAAAAATTATTATTCTGGTTGTGGAAAGGGAATTTATTGGTCAACGTCACTTGCTTACTTGGATTTCTTTATTTAGCTGATCCATTAAGTTTGTTGCAATTTTTCATATATTATAATTTTGGAATACCTAATAATATTAATAGGGGAATATATACTTCTTTTAAAAATAATACGGGCCAATAATTATATTGATAATGGAAGAATGTGAATATATTATACATTCCAATACATTTTTATGCAATTTCTGATTATCTATTTGCAAATTCATTGTAGGTTGATAAACCCCTAAGGAATCAAATTAAGTATCGCTCAAATGAACCGAAGGATAGCTATGAAGGTATGAGCTCTGCTGCTAGGAGAATTTTGCAAACCTTAGAAAAAATGTCTTCTCCGGTGACTGTAAGTTAAGAAACTAGTATGTTCATTTTAAATGTTTATTATTATGATTTGAAAGTTGATATCCAAATAATTTGTAGGATGCTAAGAAGATTCCAAACACTAATAAATCTCCAATTGATTTATCTTTGTATCTCATGGTTAGTTTGTTTTATTTTTATTTTAATGAAATTTTAAATACTATGACATTAATGTTAATCTAAGCATTTTTCTTTATCTTTTGAAACTAGCCTCCTAAACATCGAAAAAACTTTCAGTCTTCTACACCAGCTGGAGTAAGAAGTTTTTTGTTTATTGTTACACCTATTATTTATTTTAAATAATGTTGAATGCATATTATATATTTTTTAATATATAAACTTCAAGTCTATGAAAACTAAACTTTTGGTCCTATACTAATAAATATTTTTAATTTTAAAATAATTGAAATTTTTTCAACAAACATGTATTGATATGAAACCTATTAATTCAGCATTCATATTATTTTCCCTTGATTTTGTCCACAGTTTAACTATTTTAGAAATACAATTTAAATTTGTGCTGGCACTAAAATTTTTTTTTGTCAATATAACCATAAATTTAGTTATAAATCATATTTCATTGTTTGTCAGATATTTTAATGAGTTATAAAGTTGAAATAAATGTAACTGAATAACATAGCTGCCTTAGCTTTCCTTTTAGCAGAACTGGAACTTGTGGTCAAACAGTATACTAATAACTATGAGAAGACATAAACACGAAAAATTACAATTTTCAGATATAAATTTAACATAATGTTTGTTGTTCTCATAAAATAATAAGCTGTATGTGGTCCTTTAATGTAAAGAATGTTATTAATGTAATTAATGCATAGCTGTATTATAGCATATGACAACAATACCATATTATCTTTTTACAATAATATATATATATGTATTGTAAAAATAATTAAATTTCTTGTACATGAAGAAACAAAACCAAAACAATTTGGTACCAACTTAAATTTACAGTGGTATTCAAATCAAGAAGGCTTAATCACCTGGTTCTGTCCCTTTATTTCACAAGAAACTAATTATAAACACGGAAAATTTGATTCCTTCCGGACATTAAAAATGTGACTTACAACTTTCTATCGATGACCCTGCAAAATGCTTTCTGCAAATGGATTTCTCACTTCTCCACATGTTTTATCCAAAAATGAAAATAAAACATCTTGAGGACAATACGCTATCTAAGGGAGTATGCCTGCTTCTAACAACTGAACTTTATATAAATCCAAACTTCCAAATCTAATGACTATCTTAACATTACTTAAATGATAGATCCACATAGTCCATAAGTAATGCAAATTCATCTAAAAGAAACCAATATAATTTGAATGATGATGAATACAAAACAATTACAATTAGCGGTTGGAATGACTTTTCTTTAAACCCTCACGTAATTTACATTATGTTAATACCAATATTGTTTAATAAAAAGTAAATAAATCTGTATAGTTATGTCTGATTTAATAATTGATGCAAATTCTAATTTAAAGATATGTGCATTTTTGTAAAAAGACACAGTATGACGTTGCATTTGATAACCCTGCGCCCTAGTGACAGACCGCATATTCACACAAACAAACACAAAAAAATTTAATCAAAGCGTAGGAATTATGGCTAGTAAGGTCTGTTGATTGGCATCATTGATCAACAGAATGTTACAAATTTTCATTGTAAAAAAAGAGGATTTGTAAATTAGTTGATCATAAAGTTAGTTTTTTAGTTAACAAAGTTTTTGAATTATGATAATTTTTTTAATTTTAGCCTTCTAGAGGACCTCCTATTGCTGATATCAGTACTATATCAAAATTAACTACATTAAAAAATTATGGACAGAAGCGATTCCAAAATTCAATACTGGTAAGGTGATTTTTTTTAGTAAAATATTTTTGACTTACAGTGAGATTATTTTCATAAATAGGGATCTTTTTTTTAAAGAAAAAATACAGTCAAACCTGGATCTATCATTCCCACATTGTTAATTTTTTCAAATGTATCAACTTGCTTTAATAGTCTTGTCACAAATGCTATTCTTAAAATGTTAATCTTACCCATTTAGATTGAGTTAACAGAATCAGTTTTTATTCTTTACGCATTCTGGACTTGTTTTAAAGATTATCCTGTTGTGGGAATGTTTCGCTTTTAAAGACGTTTTGTTTTGAGAGGAAAAACATTTACTAATGATGAAGACAGTACTTTGTTGCAAATTACAGGAGTGAGATTTTTCTGCTTTTTAGCGGATTTCCGCCTTTTTCGCTTTTGTCTCTCGAATTTCAGTCTTTTGATCAAAAACTCCGATTCTCTAAAAAAAAAATTTTTTAAAAAATAAATATTCCGCTTTTTCTAAAAATTCAGCCGCTGAAATAAAATAATTATATTTCTTTCCGATTTTCAAAGATAAACAGAAAATTCAAACTACGTAGCTGCCAATCCTTCCGCATTTTTTAATAATTTTAGCTATTTTCTCCACTTTTACGAGCAAAAAATAAGATTTTCTGCATTTTTACCTGCCCGCCAGATAGCTCATATTTTCGTAATTCAGACGTCACTGCATATTAATATGAAACCTCGATTTTCATATTTACCTGATTTAAAAGTTGTGCATTGCGATTCTTATTCATGCAATTTCAATATCGTACATTGCAATTCTTATTTACAAGGTTCAAAAATGCAATATCGCTATTTTTATTTATGCGTTTTTGAAATCCTATGTAGCGATTCGTGTTTGAACGTTTTTAAAATCCTATGTTGTGATTTGTATTCACTCGTTTTAAATCCAATGTCGTGATTCGTTCATGATGTTGTAATATCAAACATTGATTTTCGTATGTACACGGGATTTAAAAATTAGGCTTCAGATTCGTATTAACGCGATTTAGAAATTATGCATTGTGATTCGTATTTACGCGATATAAAAATTAGCCATCATGATTTGTGTTTTCACATTTTTGTAAATCCAATATCGAGTTTCATATTCACGTGATTTCAAAATCCAATATTGGGGTTCATATTCACATGATTTTAAAATCCTTTATTCTTTTAAGAATTCTTTTTTTCTTGAATTAGTTACTATAAAGGTGGCAGTTGTTTTATTGACGATTTTTGGTATATATGGGCATTACAACATCAGCGAAACTGGATAAGAATATGTTACTGATATTTTTGCTATAAATCATTAAATAGTATTTATTAAAAAAAATGAAATGTTAATGTATGTACTCAGTAGTTTAGTGTGCTGAACTAGGCAGTAATAATTGACTCTTTTATGACTGAAGAAAAATGTAATTTCCAGCTTTATTTTTTCAATTTGTAATTTTATTTTTTCTAAATATTAAGTGTCGATGTAATTATTCATTTATTAATAAATTAGTACATAATTAAATTTAAATCATCGCATAGTCTTAATCAAATAGCACATAGTCTTATATGAGCATATATCTTAAATAGTCTGGAATTTATTTTTAAACGATTGCACGCACGTAAGATTTACTTGCATGAAAATTCAGCTTTTTTGCCTTTTGGCTAATCTCATCCCTGAAATTAAGAAAAGATCATTGTCAATGATTTAAGTAATCATCTGCGACTGCTTATAGTTTCGTTTTATTTAGTCATCAAATTATATAAATATGCTTTCTAAACAATTTAAGAGTTAGACACATCAGACAGAAATTTAATTCGTGCTATCTTTTAATCTATAGATATATCGATAGATAAATACTGCAATATATACAGGGTATCTGCGCACCTGAAAAGTCATGGATTTCGGTATTGAACAAAATTTGTCTTGAAATGTCATGATTTTAACTATTTTTTTAAAAAAAAATCATACAAAGGCATGGATTTAGGTTGCTGAAAATCTAATTTTTAAAATGGAATTTACCCCCAACCCTCTTAATTTCACATGGTTTCGAATATCCAAATTTTTAACAAAATCCCTACTCATAGTCATATTTTATTAAAATATAAAATGTTTTTATCCTGTTCTTTAAAAATTATGGTGTTCTTTCAAAAAATGAAAGCAAGAACATCATTTCTAGAGCGAGTTATCTTTCAACTTTCCATGATTTCAGAATTTTTATATCTATTTATTATTTTTATTTTATCAATTTAAAATTCTAGTTTAGGCTTTTTATATTACACTTACTTTTAAGAAGAAATAAAACAGGTTTAAATAACCTCATAAATCTGACTGTAGTTAGTTATTTGCTTTTGTATTTTTTTTAGCTATCATATTGTTTCAACTCTTTCTTTACTCTGTTTTTTAAGTTTAAAATCAATAAATATGAAGAGGCAGAGTATGACAATTTTGGTTATAACTATCATTTCAATTAATGTTATTATAATGCTTTTTTAAATTATGTTTTTGTCAGAGAAAGTAGTAATTTCGGTAAGTCATGAAAAATTCTTGGAATTATTCATTGAATCTCATGGATTTGAAATTCTAAAATGTAGCAGAATCCCTACAAAATATCATATACGATCGATATATTACGATATATTGCGATTTATTAAAAAAAGGTTATATTTCTATAGTCTTACTGGAATCCTAGATATGGCAATGTATTTTGATAAATAAGAATATCATTCTTTCTTGAAAAAGAAACAACTATATGACGTTGCAAGAGCATTAGATTTGATTGGACCACTAAAAGTGGCACGTCTTATGCTGCCATGCCCTTAACAAATCAGATAAAGAATTTTTACTTTTGTTTTGCAGTAGAAGAAAATTGTCTGCAAGTGAGAAACAATATGTATTAATCTTTCATCAGTTTCTTTAAATGTGAGCAGAAAGTATTATTTAAATATGATGCAACTCTCACAAACAACAGAATAGTTTTTACAAACAATAGAATAGAAACAAAACAATAGTGCTTTTATTACGCTTTGTTTTCCTCATATCACACAATTTAAGAAGGCAATCATTAAGCTGACTGCACAGTGTCGTTTCAAGAGTTGGCAATGTTGATATACATTGACGCTGGGAGCTTGGCATCCAAATAATAATATGCCCAAAGTATTTAAATTGTAACTAATCATTGTAAAAAAAGAATGTCTACAATGCTGCACATTTAAAAAATTTTTACTTTTCAAAAATCTGCTAAATTTATTTAAAATCTATTAAATTTCAATTTTGGTCTCTTAGCTCAATTATTACATTTCTAAGATTTTAAAGAATAATCATTTCATCTGTATCTTAAATGATATGTATATTTGTAGAAATATTTTAGCAATCAGAAAATATTTTAAATTGTTATAAACATAAATATAAGTTTAAAGCAGAGCTATCACTTCAAATATAATGACGAATCATCTTGATTTCTAGTCTTCTTTTTATTTTGATTATTATACAGCAATTTAATGTTTTGTTTTAGGACTCTCCTACTTTACTTAGTGAAAAGACTAGCTCTATATTAAATGTATTGCCTCAAATTCTTCAGAGTTCACCAGAAATGCCGTAAGTATATAACACTTGTCCTCCCCCCCCCCTTAACTTAAAAAGCTAAATGTTAATGCATTTTATATTCCAATTGCATATTTGACAAATTCTTACTTTACCATTATCAGAATTTATAGATTGGTTATTTATAAATGTTGATAATCTTACAAACATACTGCAGATTTCAGAATTTTTACAATACCGTATTATACAGAACTAACTCAATCAATTTGTAACAAGCTTAAACAAGAGATATTTACTGCATAAAATTTCCTTTCATTATCCACTTTTGCAAATTGACATTATTTTATCACACCTGGGTCAAAAAGAAATGGAAATGACATCCCCTCATAGGAAGATTAATTCTGAATAGGAAGGAAAAAGGTTGTTAAAAAGGAATCCTGAAGGACAAAAGTGGGTTTTGCATTCTTAGAAATATTCAGGGGGATAAGTGTAAACTTGTGCAGCTCAAAGATGCTTAGTTTTGCTTGCTTTTTTGATAAAAATCTAAGATGGTTTGTTTCATTCCTGTTTAGTAGTGTAAATATCACAAACCAGGAAACAGATGATTTTAAGACGAGTGTTAAGACATCATTTTTTATCATGATTCTGACTTTTTTTTTTATTGTTTGGAAGATTCTGATTAAATTTTTTTAGTAAAATTTGTAGTTTTATTTTTCTTTATTTGTTAATTGCACGTGTGATCATGACAACGTTTTTCATAAAATCAAATAGATAATAAATGTAATTCATCATCATCATAGTTGGCGAGATAGCCCAATGTGAGCCAATGCCTTCCTCTGAAGATTTCTCCATGACGACTTCCGATTTATCTTTGATCACCAATTATTTTCATTAAGTGCAAGATAATCAAATTCTACCGAGTCAACCGATATCAACTGTGGTCTTCCCCTCTTTCTTGTTCCAGTGGGTCTAACAAGCAGAGAGTCTTTTAGTATTATTATTATTACTAAAAGTTAATTAAAATTTATATTTTGGACATCTATTGTAGTTATTTTTCAATTTATTAAGTAAAATTACTTAGTTTTATGCATTGTTAGTATTTCCTATAACTATGATTATTAATATTTTTGACATGCATCACATCAAATCTGTTGATTTTGTAATTTTACTGATTCTAATAAGTAATTTTCAATACCACCCCTTCTCAATACCCGCATTTCTTTCAATACCCACCCCTTCTTTCAATACCCACATTCTCCACGAAAAAATGAGTTTTCCACAGCATTCAGGGGGAGGGACTACATTTAATCCATATTTTACTGTAAATTAATTTTTATCCACAAATATTGAAAGAGTGAATCAATTTTTTGTAAGTTATACTAATGTTTTGAAATAAAATGAATGTATGATCATTAAAATCCGAAATGTATCAAAATATTACTTAACTGAAAGGTGTATGTATTAAGCATTTTGATTGTTAAGAATTTTCTAAAATTCATTCCTTTTTAATTTAATAAAGTATTTCGGTGTTTAGAATGAAATTTTTGCTTTTATGAGAAATTACACTAATAAGTGTAAATTGTATTTTTCCTCATTAAAAATTTTCCAATTGCAATCCCAGGAGTTGTTGATAGCAGAAATTTTTTAACATTGAGTATTTTGAAGAAGTCAATTATGAATATTGATATTGATTTTTTGAAATGTTCAATTTCTATTCAATTGTTGTTTTTCTTAAATTTCTATGCCTTTTTCTTTAATTCTAATGAAATGATTTTTTAATTGTGATTAATGATTATGATTTTAATGATTATGACTCATTTTAATTAATGATTTTTTAATTTCAGTTCACTCCCAAGTGGTGGTGGCAAAATGAGAAACAAATTACATCAACAGCACCAGCCTGCAGCAAAAAATAAGTTTAATGCCAATGAGATGGAATCAAGGATGAGTGATGTAATTAAATATTTTCCCTTTTGCATAAATGTTTTTTTTTTACAAAAATCATTAAATCTTTGTCATCCTCAATGACTGATACATGTGACTTAAGTTTCACTAAAATTGGTTTTATGTTTATTTTGAAAATTAAAATTGTTTTTATTTTAGCATGTTTTACTAATAATTTTTTAGTAACTAGTAAATATATGCCTTTATTCAAAATTATGAATCAAATACTCACCTAATTTAGCAGCCTCAGATTATTTTATTAATTAAAATTTTCTATTTCAGTATATAGATACAATCCCTGATCCTACAGACTTGCCAGAAATCACATTACCTATTACTACACTGCCGACCATTTCATTTGGACAAACTACAGTCAAAAATACTTGTGATTCTTCAAATAAAGGAAAGAACTTCACATTTTCTAATCCTATTGAACTTGTACCAAATTCTGAGTTGTCAAATCCAACACTCCCTGTAATTAGTAATGTAAGCATATTTTTTAAAATTAGTTTAAGGTATGAAATTATTTTAATGTCATATTTTTTTGCTTTATAAATATCACTTTCTGGCTTACTCTTCTCTCACTATTTGATTTTCCTGTAATAATTGCTTTGATTAGTAAATATTTATAGTTGATATTTTATTTGGTACCTTTAAATTTTAAAGGTCAAATTATAATTCTTTTCAAATTTATTGTTTTTAAAATATTTATTGAATTTTACTCTTGGCGAATTTTTTTTCGCAAAAATGAACGTTACTTTTCAGAACATTAATAAAAGAAAGCAAACTTTAAAGGCAAAAAAGCAACTGTTTTCAGGAATAGGTTACTATTAGGAGATTTTTTTACTCTTGGCGAAGTTTTTTCGCAAAAATGGACTTTACTTATGAGTGATTGAATAAAAGGAAGCAAACTTTCATACAATCATTTATGTCCAAAGAGCCAAAAATTTAAATTTCCATTGGATTTAATAAAGTACTTGTTATATGTTCTCTCTGAGGGGCAGTTTTGTAATTTTTAATTGTTTTTTCCTTCTATTAACATTCCTATTTTATTGTAATTCGACTTTTATTTAGGTACCTATTTTCTAATATGTATACCTTTTATATTTGTACAAAACTTTTATTTAATTGGAGCATAGTTAAGACTGGGCGATAAATCGATGTATCGCGAAATATCGATTAAACACATATATCAGTAGGCCGATGTAGTGACTTTGTTTGTGATAATGTTTTGACGTTTTTAATAATTTAACATTAGTACTTAAAGTATTTTTTAAAATTTTTTCAATATTTGTTTGTTTTATAATTTGTTCGATAATCAGTATCATTTTTAAACAAATAAATCCTTAGTCAATTTTATTTAAAAAAATGAAAATAATAATAAATAAGTAAAAATATTTTTACATTTATTAAGTACAGAATTTGACCATTAGTTAATACTGCTTTTTATTATTTTAAATAATATTATTTTTTCTTTTAATTTTTAATGCATGTACGTAAAATAATTTGTTACAGTATTATTATTTTTAAACCAATAAATCTTAAATCATTTTTAATTTAAGAAAAATGAAATAAAGCTTGGGTTTGCTTTTACTTTGACTTCTTTATTAATTTAATTGAAAAAGCTAAGCAATGTTTTTTTCATAGTAGAATATTTTTAGAATTAATATTTTCTTTTGTACTAGATTTATTCCTTTTTTATTTATTTTTGATTGATTTAAAGATTTCCCACAGGTAATTTTTGAACATATGCTAAATTGCGATACATCACTATATCAGACATGTCTAACTGACGATGTATCACGATTTAAAATTTCTAACATCACCCAGTCCTAATAATAGTATTTGACAATTAAGCTATAATTTCAATTATTTTGCTAATATTTTTGTCAATTTTTGTTCCTGTTCAGGCAACTATTTTCATAGTTTTAGGCAACTATTTTTAATGTTTGAGGCTACTAAAAGCAACTATTTTTGTTCATTTTTTACTGTGGCAACCCTGCAAATACAATTTACTTCACTTTTCATAAATGTACAAGTACAAGATATGATATAATAATCCTTTACAGTTAAATTAATTTGTTTAAGGTATTCTGTCAAAATAAATTGTTTTAAAATCTTTTATGTTAGAATAATATGGTAATTCTTTTATTGCAAATCTGTTCAAAAATTTTTTTCTTCTAAATTTTACTTTAAATACATTGAGACTTTATTTCCAAAAACATCTGGCACTTTATTTTAAGTGATGATTACCAATACTTTCCTTATTAAAAATATATTGATTTCAATGGTATTACTGTCACTTTTAAAAACTTCAACAGGCATAAAATCTTTTTTTCATCTAATCTTTTTTTAATCTTATCTTTTTTCCTGCGTTTGTAGTTTGTCTATAAAATCCTGTTATCTAGTTATTCAACCTATCTTAAGACCTATTGTCTAGTGGTTTGTCTTTTAAAACATATTTCTAATAAGTTTTAATAGGCAAATTAGTGTTTTTGTTTATATCAATTTAAGTGAATAATTTTTAAGGACTTGCATAAAATGGTTTGTGCGTAAAATACTTACTTGTGGTAAAACAGAATCTTTCTATGAAAAGTTTTCTCTTCTGAAAGGTGGAAATGTGATTTCTTTCTCTCTATATATTTACACCTATTAATTGCTGGTTTATTGACTGCATTTCATAAATGTTTTATGTTTCAGTTATCTTCATCTTTTTTGAGTCAACCTGATGTAAATAAAAACCAACCAGCAAACACCTTCACCTTTTCCAATCCAATTGAACTTGAAAATCCAATTGTGACTGTATCTACCAATTCTAATACACAATGTAAGCTTAATTTCAACTCAAAGTCTGTAGAAAGTACTTGGAAGTGCAGTGCTTGTTGGGTGAATAATCCTGATTCTGTGACTAAATGCCAGTGTTGTGAAAATCCCAAGGAGGTTTTATCTAATGCTTCAAAGACATTCTCTACAGCTACAATGTTACCTTTTAAACCATCTTCTCCTAAAACACCTTCAAATGATGAGTTACAAAAACCCGTTTCTTCTGTTCTTCCTCTTTCAACCGCTGGGTTCGGAACTGCTACTGCCAATTCTGCATCGACCTGGGCTTGCAGTGAATGCTGGGTTTCTAATCCTGCAACCAAGGAAAAGTGTGCATGTTGTGAAGCACCTTGTCCATCTAAGGGAAAAATCACTGGTAATTACTTTTCTTGATTGGTAATTGATGTGTATAATAGAGGCGTCCAATCCTGAGACATACATTTTAAGATTTGAAATAGTCAAAAACAGTTACACTGGGGGACAACTTTTTTGTTGCATTTATACAAGTGCTTGGTTTTACCTAATTTGGGTGTGGAGATTTTAAATCTGAAATTAGTTTTGTTCCGAAAGCTTTTCCAAATGGTAGATTAATTTTTTGCCTGAATGTACACATATATAAAGAACACGCAGGTTAATGCACATGTACTTTTAACACTTAACGCAAAACTCGTATAACCTTAATGTATCGCATCATGAACTGAAATGTATTATCCCCTTCCAGTTACATGCTTTACATACCTGCCAAGCCTCCTGCTTTTTTAACAAAGACGTACCAGTATATTCTCAAATTTGTCTGTATAAAAAAAAATTAAGGCGAAAATACTTCCAGGGACGGCTTATGCATGTCGCGGCCCCTAGGCAATGCTCGTCTCGGGCCCCCACCCCTACCGTCTTCTAACTTCCTAATATATTTTTTCCTTTGATTCGCGACTAAATCCGAGTTTGAAAAGGTTTTGTGTCTTCTTCAATTGTTCATTAAGTTTATTTTGTTGCTCTTGCCGCTTTTTACGTTTTTCTGAACCACTTTGGGTTTTTTTTCCTTTACGGGTACCTCCGACATTTTGTTCCTGAAAAAAATAATCTTTCGGTTTAAAACAGAAATGAAATTTTCACCTTAGCAGCTCAAACATATTGAATTTCCTGCTTAATAAACACCGAAACTAATAATATTTGATAACGTTGAAATTAAATAAAATATGTAAGTAATTGAATAATAAAACGGCACTTCACATTTGTCAAGTCCTGTATTGGGTAATAAAATATGTAAAAAATAATAAAACTTACGTATAGTAATTTTAACTTCAGTTTACACTACACGGATTTTTACTCGTCGTTTCACCGATTTTCTCGAAGTCCGTAGCACTTCTGCAGTCTTTATAAATAAATATCCAATACTTAGCTCTAAATTCGTAAGTTTTGAAACACAAACTGTAAAACTCTCTTTTCATTCACAGCCGTAAAACTCGCAAACAAATTGCACGAAGTGAAAATTCAACGATTACATTAAAAATGTTTCAAAAATGTTGTCTATGACACAATACAACGTATGTATTTAGCGGATCGGGGAATTCCCCAGTCATGCGACGAAAGAACCAGTACTGCCAACCTTATTTTTACATACTCTTTGGTAGCTTGGCCATAGAATATACATACCTATGGTAGGTACCAGAACAGTAAGTGTGCATTCACAATGTAGAATTTTGCGCGTTTTTCAAGCATGTTGTGTTAAAAAAGCTGCTCTTGCTGTAAAGTCATCTGATTAGTCGGCGTTAAAATTACTGCTATAAAATTGCTTGTGATTATATTACTGCATTATATATGAACTAACTACATTAATATTAATATCTAATTTGGAATGCATTCAGAAATGTACTAAAATACGGCCAATGTAATGTACAGAGCAAGATAATCATCAATGAAATTTCGAATTAAATTTTTACTGTTTAAGAAACATTGTCAATTTTTTTCTCTGTAGCACAGGGCCCCTAGGCAGTTGCCTACAGTGCCTAATGGATAAAACGGCTCTGAATACTTTTCTTATTTCTCAACAGATAGTGCTGTAGCCAGCAGTGCAGTATGTTGAGTGTTTATAGTTTAATTAATTATAAATAATGGTTTAACGAAATCTTCTCTTGATTAAGATTTATATACATATTTTTTACTTCGCTAAATGTGCTTAGATTATTATAATCATTTTTAGTGGTAAGATTTAAAAAAAATGTAGGAAAGGGTTTTCTCTATTTGAAAGGCAGCAAAAAATCCTATATTATTCAGATTTGTCATTCCAAAATGGTTCAATGGTTTGATTTAAAGGTAATAGAAGTAAAGATTTCAATAATCTCTGATTTGTTAAAAATGAGTGTCGGGACCATATAATAATTTACTGTTGACAAAAATGTTTAGCTTACTCATTATTTACATTTCAAAATTATTGAAGTTTTTTAAAAATAATTTCATTGAAGAAAAACTCAACCAAGTAACAATTTTTAATAGAAATTTTATAAGGGTCTACTTTACATTAGCAATATGAATTTATTAAAGTTTACATACTTTGCTTAATTCTTTACTTATCTTTATAAATTCAGTGTGATCAATAATAATAATTTTGTTAATGTTTTTAATATGCTTTTATAAATTGCTTAATAATGTTTTTAATTAATTAAACTAATTATAATTTTGAAATAAAAGGGATTTTTTTACATAAAGTAATTTTTAATTTTAAAAATAGAATGACTCACTGAATATTGGATATGTTTAAAATTATGGATAAATTGTTTTTATGGTGGTTAATATAATAAAGAAAAGAGTTTTTTTTGTTGTCAGAAACTAGTTATTTCATCATGATCATGTAAAGTATTTGATAATTATTTTGAATTTTGTAAATGCATATATATGAAGAAGTTTCAACGATAAAGAGATTTTTTTTATTTATTAGTGTGCATATACTTATTATGATTTTTTTTAGATGCTTTGGAATAGTTGAGTGCTTAAAAAGTGCTTATTTTTGTTGAAAATTTGACTACTCACTCTGATTAAGTTTCATTGGTTGTTTTCATATTGATTAACTCAAAGCAGTTTAGAAGAAGATAATACTATGGGCTAAATAAACTTGATTAATAAAAAATTGAATAACTAGGATTTTTTTTAAGAATTTGAAAACCTGTTCTACATACCAAGGGAAAAGGAAAATTAAATAATAAATCAGTATTGGACAGCATTACAAATTGACGATCGAGTCTGAAAGATGCACACCATCATAACAAGCAGGATTAACATAATTTATTTTCTTTTTTTATTGTTTTGTTTTTTCTGGTGGCTTAGAGCTCTTAGATTAGGCAAAACCCATTTCTGGTAGTTTATCCCATTAAAGTAAAGATTAACTGTATTAAGTATTATTTAGCATGATGCTAGAGAATAACTCATGGTTGTAAAAATTGATTGTAATTTCACCTATTTTATTCAATTTGAAGGAGCTGTAAAAAAACTTTTCATACAGTCTCTGTGTTAAAACTGTGCAGTATTGATCCAGTTTTAATGGGTACCAAATGTACTAATATAATACTATGTACCTATATTTGTTGCCTATTAAAACTGGGCCTAGTACCAATACTAATTTAGCATCTTTGACGTCAATAATAGTATGGTGATTTTTCACGTTTTTCCTACAAATTAATACTTCCATTATTTTTGCATTTGAATGTCTAGCTTATGTTTTTATTTCAATTAAAACCTATTACCAAAACTAAATGAGCATCATTGTTGTCAATAATAGTATGGCAATTTTTTTAGCTTTACCTAATGAATCTGCCATTTCTTTAACGATTTCGTGTTTAAATTCCTTTTTTTTTCTTGAATTTCAAATGTTGCTATTAGCAATATTTAGCAAGCATCATTTGCTTCAATAATAGTATGGCATTCTTTAACATTTCTTTTAAAAAAATTAGTCCTAGTTTCCATCAATTTTTCTTTTTACCATATACCTTATTTATATACCATATTGGCTCATACCCCTCAAATATCACTGGTATCAGAGCACCCGTCCAGGAGGTGCACTCAACATTCGGTGCAACCGCAAAAATCAGACGGCCCTTGCCTGGGGCCACCTTAAGTCTCTTTCTTTCGAGGGTAGTGTTAAAATCTTCCCAAACTGCCCCAGGTGCCACAACATGCAGGCTTCTCCCCAACATATCTTGGACTGGACAAGAGGGACATTCTAGAAAACCCACTTTTGGTGGCCGACTTCCTCCGGGTCAATGTATAGCTATAAAATAAACATGTAGTTTCCAATAACATTCAAAATATTAATTTGGCATTGTCTATCTATTCTACCATTTTAAGTTATCTGGCATAATAACATTATTTAATATTAAAGAATGTGCAATGAGTTCCATTTTTTATTAATGATGGCAGACATTAATACTAACTATGAAAATACTTGTTAAAACAAAATCATTTAATAGTTTCATTTAAATCAACTAATAAAAAAATTATATCTTTTAATTGGCGTTTATGAACGATGTAGAATTGAAATGAAATTTTTTAGCATGCTTTTAGGATTGGGGGTGGAAATTTCTCCTTTAAATCAATGCTCCAATTTCTAAACACTACTATCGCAAATGGTTCTGAAGTTAAAAGAGGGATGCATGGACAAAATCTTCATTTTATTATTATTAATTTATGTGTTTTCTATTAAAACTAACACAATATATTAAAGTAAAGCCCTTGTTTAAGCATTTCACTAATTAGATGTTTTATTAATATTTACTATAGTAAAAACATTTTTTTATTTATTATTTTTAACAATTGTTAGCTCTTTACTGTTAAATGATGAATGTGTATTGTTAAACAGAATAAGTATTTTAATATATTTGCTGTTCTTTTTTTTCTGCCTAATGATATGTATATCAATAAATAGAATCATGTTACAATTTGCACGCTTCTATTTTTATGAAGGTGGCAGTTCCAACAAAGAATCAAGGTCAATAAATTCTAGCTCAAATTCAGCTTTTGGATGCGCTAGTATACCAGCGTCATCAAGTAGTCAATCTGGCTTTAATTTTAGTGGATTATCCAAAGTGAGTATTAAAGAATTGTCTCCTTTTTATTGTAATTCTGTATACTCTTGGTTCTTAGTAGATCAGCCTTACACCTTCAAACCCAGCTTCACTTACATAAGAATTGATTATAAAACAGGGTGCATTCTTAAAGGTGCTTATTTTTGATTTTTTTAAAAAAAAAAATCTCTTCGGTGAAACGACATCGTCTTTGTCATGGGCAGGCCGATGACGTTCTAGCACTGATCTGTTTAAACAAAATAGCACAATCCTAGATCAGTTAATTAGTACAACTATTCTTAAACTTTTCTGAGGGATCATTCACTAATTAAGTATTTTCATGTGGATGTAGAGTTGTCTACCATAACTTCATTTCTAAAATTTGTATCTTTTTATTTGTTTAGTTCAGTAAAGATGGGAATAGATATTTTTTAATCACAGAAGTTATATCTTAGGGACTGTCCACTAAATGCATAAAATATTTTACTCTTTTTATTGTCTTATTTTACTGGATTTGCTATTAAACTTTCCAGTATTCTTGAGCTATCTTGTGATAAAAACTCAATAATTTTTATAATCAAGATTTTAAAAACATGGAGTGAGGACCTTTTCCCATTTAAAAATTGAGCTGTAGTACAAAATCTTATATGATGTGCATTTGTCATTTCAAAATGCTATAATTTATCTTTTTATCATTTGGTTTAAAAATTCTATATTCTCAGGTAATTCTCTTAAAGGGTCCTTATTTTTTGTATAAGAAGTTTTCTATGTACTATGTAAAAGCATAAATTTCTGATTTTAAAGGAGTCTTCTCTATATAGACTTTTTACTTTTGTATTGAAAGGCAATATCTTGATATATCATCTGAAAGGTATTCTAGACTGATTTTGTTCAATAATTCCATTTGAAATTCAACCAAGGTGCTGGAAACTACTTGTGACCATTTTTTTGGACAAAAGACTTAAATTTTTTGGCATGAAATCATTTTTTAAAAGAAATCTGATTTAGCTATACTTAAGAGAGATACCAAACCATTATAACATTTTATTCTAGAAGGAGGAATTATCATTTATGGGTTTTCTTCAATTATGCACTTCATCTATTTTTCGTGAAAAAAATAATTAATGCTGTTTAAAGTTAATTTGTATAAAAGCTTAATATATGTATACTATTATTTCGAGATAATTATTTTGGTTACTAATACACCTGTCGTTCCTAACCGGATTGACTGTGTTTGTGAGAGGCATCTTGTCTATTGATTGATAACGTTTAAAAACAGGCAAAACAAAACATTTATTTTAAATAAAAAACAACAAAAAACAAAACAAAACACAGCGTTCCAAAGATATTTTAAGAAGCCAATTCAACGATATTTCCAGTTCTCTCTTTTTTCTCTTGCCATACTTAGAGTAACCTACATATTCTGAATACTTTTGGTGGCGCAAACTAATTGGAGTTAGTGTTTGCCGCAACAACACCAGTGCCAAAAACTTCTAACTTCTGCCTTCTATTTATAGGCAATTTTTATGGAAATGTTTTGAAAACTATAAATGTTCAATATTCTTAGACTGTTCTTTATTTTCTGGTACATTTTTCCAATGTGTACAAAGGGCTATATTTTTTGCATTCATTAATGTAAATGATTTAATATTGTAATTGATTGATTGATTTGTAATTGGTTGTGCCAAACTCATGTCATTGAAATAAAGGCAAACTTAATTGTTTGATAATTAAGTTTTAATTAATCCTTCCATTACCTCATTCAATCATGCAAATTGATGTGAGTTATATTGTTTAAAAAGAATACTTAATTATGCATTTAATATTACTACAGGAAGTGAAGAATTTTTTAAACTGCAGAGAAATGACTTTGTAACTAATAAGTATTGAAGTAGTTTATCAACCTTGTTATAATTTCAGCCTGTTGTATTTCTAAGCACTGTACTAATTTCCCAATTTTTGTTGTTAAAATGTTTCTTCAGGTTCCTCAAATTTCTTCCACGTGGGAGTGTGATGCTTGTTTAGTGAGAAATGAAATGGATAAACAAAAATGTGTGGCTTGTGAAACACTGCGTCCAAATAAAAGCAACCTTTCTGGTAACTAATTCTCTGTTTGTTTTAGAAAATTAAACTGATTTTTTAATTTGTACTTTAGTGATGCAATTACTATATTAATTGTTCTAGCCTGTTCTAATTGAATGTAGAAGTGTGGTGGCAAAGAATTATAATATTTTAGAGAGAAATCTATGATTTATAAAAAACAGTTTGAAATATTCAGAAGCAAAGCTTAGGAAAAATCTTTCATTATACAGGGATCAGGGTAAACTGGGAAAACCTGGAATTTCCTAAAAAGCAGGAATTAGTTGGGTAAAAACCTGGAAATATATCATACGTGAAAAATTACCAGTCTTAGAATTGTATGTAACACTAAACAGTTATTGAGATTCAAGTTAAAAATTCTGACATCTATTATAATTATTTTATCAGAGATAATTGTGCTCCAGCAAAAATCTGTATTTTTTTGCCAACCTAGATCAGGAAGTTTCTGGAAATTCAAGGTACAAAAGTTTCAAGAAATCATCAATCACATTTGTGTATAAAAATTCTTGTATATTTTATTTAAAAATATTGGAGCTAGAATTTATGCTTGGCATTTATATTTGTTTTAAAAATATTAATGATTTAAATTTATAAAGGATTTTTGGGTTGGGCTCACAATCCCCCCCCCCTCTTTTNACGTAAATTACATAAAATTCGATTTTTTTTTTTGTGAAACTTTTCCATGTTTTCATTCTCATTCTATTGTATGTTTTTGCTCACCAAATCTAATATTTGACATTACAAATAAAAAAAATCAAGTTATCAAATGAAATTTATGCTTATGAGTGTAAATCATATTAATGTAAATGTTTTCTCCAGGTTTCTCATTTAAGGGAACTAATGAAGCAAAGTCTAATGCTACCTTAAATTTCAATTCACCTTTAAATAGTGCTGTGAGTTCTGGATTTTTGTTAAATACTACCACTGCATCTTCTTCAACTTCTGCTACAACTACTGGATTTACACTTAGTACTACAGTTAAACCTGTTTCTGATGGTTTTACTTTAAATACGAGTGAGCCAACCGCATCATCTGTATCAGTAACACCAGCCTCAACTTCAACCTGTACTTTTGGTTCTGGTAAGGAAATAGGAACAATATATGAGTTATGTACCCTTCTCGTACCGACCACATTGCTAAAATAAAATATCGTCAGTGGAAGACTGATCGTGTGTTTGAGTCCCCTTGAAATTAGGCTAAAAGTGGGGGATCTTCGTGGTTTTTCTCTCCATGTAACTCAAATTTGGGTTAGTTCCATCAAAAACTCCTCTACTCTCAGTACTTGATCCAGGAGTTCCCTTGTATTCTAGATTGGGTTCAAAATGACAAGGCTACATAGGTGAACATTAGTAGTCGTAAACCCTAAATTGGGTCAGCTGTTCAACGACGGTTATAATATGAAATAGTTAATAAATATTAAAAATATTTTATTTTTGAGAAAGGTACAGGAAAAGAACAATTTCAATCCGTAGGAAATTTGATTTTTAAGTTTTTAAATTAATATAATTTTAGTGTTACTTTAGTTTCAAAAATTTAAATCAAATCGAGAAGGAAAAGTAATATTGATAAAATTGAGAATGGAGAACAGTAGTTCAACATAATTGAATGAAATATCTTAAATTTGTATTAACCCTGTATAAGGCCTTGGAAAGTGTACCCCCAACCAACTTTGATAATTTTTATAATGACGATGGGAAGTTATTTTCCCACCTATAATTTGCGTGGCCATCTTCTGATAACTCTTGAAAATACAAAAACAATATCAATGAAGGGCGTTGTTCACATGTGATTTACAGTAAGGGTTGCTTGGGTTCAAGTAGAAAATCCATCTCATGGGAGCTATTTTATCTTGTGTGCTGTGCATTTGATCATTTTTCATCAAAGTTAATTTGTAATTAACGTGTTTATTAATATGGTTCTTTACACAGAGCTCATTCTAGGCAGGGTGCAAAAGTTTAAAAAAAGGGCATTATTATTCTAAAAAGGCAATAATTTCTTTCTATGGGCTTTACATGTTCTATCAAAAAACATTGTCAATTAGTAAAAGATTTTTTTTCTTCATGTTACTAAAAGTAGCAAAGCAATCATATTAATTACTAATTTTTATTAATAAATTAACATATATATTGAGTTAATGGGCTATTTAGTTTAGTAATTTATTTAAAATGTATGTTTTTAAGTGTCTGTAGTTATGATTTAATAATTTAAATGATTAATAAAAATTATGATTTAATGATAGTGGAAGTAACTGCAAACTTTCAAAGACAAGTGCAACAAGGGGGTATGATGGCTATTTTTCCTTTCCCATATAAATCCCATATATTGACAGCAATGACAAATTAAATAAAAAGAGTTGAAAATAACAAACGTTTTAAGAAATCCATAGTAGAGTTTGGGGAAAAAACAAAGAAGGATTGAGGAAAGAAAGCGCAAAAAGGGTATAGAGTCTATTATATCAGGGCGCTAATTTACTTCAGGGGCAACAGGGTGGATTTCTTTGACTAAAAGGGCAGCAGGATGCTGCGTCCTGTTTACCCTGCCTAGAATGAGCTCTGTCTTTACAAACCCAGAAGTTCAACGTTTTAAGAAATCCATAGTAGAGTTTGGGGAAAAAACAAAGAAGGATTGAGGAAAGAAAGCGCAAAAAGGGTATAGAGTCTATTATATCAGGGCGCTAATTTACTTCAGGGGCAACAGGGTGGATTTCTTTGACTAAAAGGGCAGCAGGATGCTGCGTCCTGTTTACCCTGCCTAGAATGAGCTCTGTCTTTACAAACACAGAAGTTCACGTTTGTAGCCAATTCTTCACAATAGTAATTTCTTAAAAAAGTTTAAAAATACCACTCACTAAAAAAAAAAAAAAGTTTTATTTTTGGTTTAAAATATCCCCCAAAACTTTTTTTATTTTTATTCAATTTTTTCAAATTATTATTATTTTTTTTTAGATTAAAGATTATTTTTATAGATTTTTTGATTATGATTTTTGCCTTAACAAAGAAAAAATTAATTTGATATTAGATTTCTTGAATGAACTAGCATATGTGTTAAAACAGTATAAAATAAAAATATATTAGAAAAGTAAAAATTTATGAAACTAAATTAAATATGACACTCATAAGCTTAAGGGATTCATGAACTATTAATGTATGAACAAATTGACCTACAAAGTTTATTTGTGTGTAATATTTCACATTAACAGAAATTATATTTTTATGCTTAGATAGTAGGTTAATCATAAGGAGTTAAAATCATGTTAAAATGAGCTTGAAAAATGTATATTTTAATATTTAACTAATTTTTTTCTTTCCCATCTTCCTTATGCTGTTAAAACAAATAATTTTATTTAGCAACAAGATTTAACAATAATTAGGAAGTCATTGTCTATATATGTGTATCTATCTATAATATACAATAGGGAACCGATTATCCGAAACGATCGGGACCATCGCTATTCCGGATAACTGATTTTTCCGGTTTTCTGAATCGCTACAAAAAGCCGTTTTTTTTATTGTTAAACCCAACTAAAAAAAGAAAAAAAAATTTGGAAATAATCTTTAAAAGAAGAAAAAACCATGAAGTAATACACTAATGATTATTTCCAAAATGATGGTAAGATAAACATCTTTCAAAAAAGAAAGAAAAATCCTAAAATCTTAGTAGGAAAAAAAAAAATTTTTAAAAAATGGCGGGAAAATATATTGAATTTCGTTCCGGTTTTTTTATTTTTCCGGATAGCGGGGGGTTCTGTACTGTATAACTCTTTATATAACCCTTGAACCTCGTTCCTGTGATTGGACATATTTTGCACCCCATGCCATAATCATGACTGGATAACATTCTGTACATTGTTACCACTAAATGCAGAAAGATTGTTCTTTTAGAGAGCTTAAAACATGGTTCGCAAATCACGTTGGTGGCAAATTCTTTACAGTTTTATCAAGTAATTAAGTAATTTTTAACAAAAGTATAGTCCAATAATTCTTTACAAAATTTTAAAAATATCACCGAAGAGAAAAATTTTCATCAGAAAAGAAAGATTATCTTAAATTAATTTTAAGGTAATAAATTTAATGAATTTTATATAAATTTATCTAAAAATATTTCAACATAACATTACTAGAAGAAAATGGAATATAATAAGTTAATTAATAGTTTCCCCCTCAATAAAAAAAAAAAAGTGCAACGTAAATTACTCATTATCTCATGCACCAACTAGCGACGGCTTTATTTATTTTTTCTAAGACATAATGTACAACTTTTTAGGGGATGTCTCAAATCTTTTATAAGATATCCCACAAAGCGAGAACCGATTCATCATTTTAAAATTACATGGTTTGTTTTTAGTGACAAAATGAAAGTATCAAACAATATCTGAAGTTGTGAATTGTGTGATCTAATTCGTGCAGTTGCAGAAGTGTTGATTAATTTCCTAATAATTTCATGTTGGTTGTTTTTTACTGTCATCAGTTTTTGTAATTCAAAAGCAATCTAGCATCTAACAGCATTATTCTATGTAAAAACTCTTTTATGCTAGTTTGTTACATTTTCTGCTTTTGAACTCAACATTCAATCAAGCCTAATTTTTAATTTGATTTGTTTGCTACTTTAAAGTTTATTTTTATTGGCTTAAGCTACTGCACTGTTTGAAAAGAAAGAAGATAATTTTATGATAAACATATTTTTTATTTCATTCAAATTTAAAAGCTCAAATTTCCCCCCTTGAAACATTGTATATGACATATTTTTTGATTAATCCTACATAAGTATTTAAAATTACAGCGTGCGTACAGACTCCTTATACTCCTTAGAAACTCCTTGGAAATAAAAAAAGTCTCCAAGGACTTGGAACTGCTTAGATTTCCAAATTAGTCCTTAGAAACTCCTTAGATTATTGCTTTGCATAGATGAACTTACTAAGTCCGCTGATGAATTTGCTGTCCAAGCTGGGAAACTAAATGATATGCAGTGGTGCAAGTGCAGCGCTAATCTGCTCTAATTGTGGAAATCTGCTCCTACATGCCCCAAATTGAAGTAGTTGGCTTAAATTGCTCCAAAAAGGATATTTTCCCCTGGGTATCGTGAAGTCACAATTTTGCGGCAACCAAGCTCCTGCCATGTGGGTTGCTCTGGATTCAGTGGGAAGGATTCTTGCACATTCATGTGCAACTCTGCTTTATTTTGCAAGATATTCTCAATTTCAGGCTTCATTTTCCACTCTCTGAAATGGAACCAAAACTTCTCTCGAATTTTTGGGGACCAACTAAACATTGCAAAATTTTAATAGCAAGAGAAAATTTTATTTCTCTTGTTAATTTCATACTTATAAGTGCTATCAACTTCGTACATGGCAAGCTAATGGCCTTCTTGCGCTATTCTATTTATAGATTAGTACCATGATCTTTGAATTAATTTACGGGACCATTCACTAAGTACATATTTTCATGTTGATCCTCAGAGCAGTCAAGAATCGCAAAGCTTCATAACCTCAAAATTTCCATCTCCCCTTTATTAATTTAATTTAATAAAGATAAAAATTAATTGAGTCTCTTAAACGAAATTTTTTATCTGAGGGACCATCCACTAATTGCATATTGTATTTAAACATTGATTTTACTTAATTGATTTTTTTAAAATATTTACTGCATTACTTATTGCATTTTATTATTGTATTATTACTTTCAAAATTTTCTGTGCTCTTTATTTGTTCAAGGAAAAAACTTAATAATATTATGAGGCAAGCTTGAAGAGAGGGGCTTTCAATATTTTAAATGCAGCAAAAAATCTGACGTTTTTCAGATTTGTCATTCAAAAATACTTTAATTCATCTCTTAATGATTTAAAAATGATCTTTGATTTAAAACAATTGATATAAAAAATTTAATTATCACAGATTTGTGAAATATTTTGAGTGTAGTGACAATATAATAATTTACTTCTGACAAAATTTTTTTAGCTTCAATACACATTGAATTTGCATTTAAAAATTATTTTTTTTTTTAATCATTTCATTATTGAAATACTGTACTAAGTAACCAATTTCAATAAAAATTTATTAGGGGCCATTCACTAATTTACATTTGTAATAAAAATTTATTAAAGCTTTCTTAATTTGCTTAATTTTTTACATATTTTTATGAATTCAGTATGATCAATATTAATCTTGTTAATGTTTTGTTGAATATGCTATTACCAATAACATTTATTAAAATTTTAAAGAAAAATACACTCGATAACTTTTAATAGTTAGATTAATTAGAGTCTTGAATTACTTTTTACAGAATTAAATAAAGTAATTATTAATTTAGAAAATAGTGTGAGCCACGCAATATTGAATTTATTTAAATTGCTTTTGCCAAAAGCTCTTTTTTTTCTTAAAGAAATATTTTGGCTATATTAAATTAATTTTTAGGTCTTTTCCAAANTCCTATTTCACCCGCCCCCTTACACTGGGGGCGGGTGAAATCTTCCTCTTCTTTCGTGTGGAGTTGAATGCAATGACGTCACATGTCGTTATCGAGTGACGTCCGTTCAGGAGTGGGGAAACTCGTACTCTCGATAGTTGGAATTGATATTGTATCTTGCTGTTTTTATAGTTTTTAATGCGTATTTTTCCACGGTTGGCAACAAGCTAGTAAACTAGCAACGTGATATCAATTATTCGCTTAGTCTTCGTATATTTAAAAAAAAAAAAAAAAAATTCAAGGATGTCTTAAGTCGAAACGGAAGTATGGATCAATTTGAGAAATATCCTCTCTTAGCAAAGCTTTTTAAATCTGTTTAGTGCATACCACATGGGAATGCCGATGTTGAAAGATATTTTAGTGTGAACAAAATGCTACTTGATAATAGGGCAAGTTTAAATTCACATAGTATTAATGGTTTGAGACAAGTTGTGTCACATATCAACAAAATAGGGAGTTTAAATAACTTTAAAGTTGACAAAGATATGATTAAAGTAGCTCGTGCTGCATTTAAAAATTATTCTGCTCGATTAGAGGTTGAGAAAAAAGAAAGTGAAAACACTGAAACTGAGGGGAAAGCAGATTGAAAGCTGCTGAAATTGATTTGCAAAAAAAAAAATGGAAGGCTTCTCAGGATCTCTTAGCCACAGCTGAAAAAATATTAAAGATGGGTTAAGTAATAAAGACATATCGAATATAGAAAGCGAACAGATCCTCTTATCTGAGGAAAAGTTGAGGATAGCAGAATATTTAACAGCATTGGAAGATACCAAATAGAAACTTAATTTTTTAATGCAGGAACTTTCATAAAAATGAAAAAAATAAGACACGTTATTGATGAACAAAAATTCTTGTTATTAAATTCTTGTTTTAATTCTTTTTATTACATGTGCTCCAAATCTTCGTTTCACTGCTCCAAAATTTCCTTTTTGTTGATCTAAAGCCACGTTTAGCCACTTGCACCACTGGATATGACTTAGCTGTCAAAATCTAGCAGTTTAAGAAAACTTTTAAAATAATAAAAATTGAATTACAAGAGTTAGAAGAAGAAAAATAACAGCAAATAATTTTACATGCTACAAGCAAACTTAATTAATAATTTGCTGTGATTTTTATTTCTTGCTATAAAATGCCTTAGATTTTCTTATGTATTCAAATTTAAAAACATAAGATTGGTAGGTTTTTATGTCAATCCTTAACATCTGTACTTTAACAAGATTTAACTGCTTTTTAATTTCTAAAAAAAAACTATCTTTTACACAAAGTTTTTAAATTTTTGATAAGTCCTTAAAATTTTGGACTCCTTGGATACTCCTTGGATTTCTTCTTCTGATCTCTGTATGAACCCTGAAATTATCTATTTACAGGTACACTTTCTTCTGTCAAACCTTCATCTATTAGCTCAGAAAACAAAGTAGCACCAACTGCTGATGTTCCTTTTAAGTTTGGAGATAAGACAATTGCTACAAGTGATCCCGCTCCTTCATTTGGCTCATCAAACAACCTTTTTACATTTGGTACCAAATCAGTTGCCACTAATTCGCCAAAATCTGCCGTTTCATCATCTGAAAACCCTACTCCTGTCGTAGGTAATATGCCTCAAAAACCAATCTTTGGAAATTCTCCATTATCTTCTTCTTTTGGGAAGCAAACAACAGGAGAATTAAAAATTCCTCCAGTTTTAATCTCCAAATCAAATCCTCTCTTCCAGTTTGGATCCACAGTGAGTATTTTTGTTCAATAATTATATTTTTACCTGTACTTAATATCCTGTTTGCCTTAAATTCATTTTTTTTTTTTTTTACTTTTTTAATCCAATCATGAGAAGCATCAGAAACTGGTTGATAGTAACATTGTCATAATGCATGTGAACTTTTTATAGTATATTTAAAAAAGGGCATGAAAAAACAGTTTGAAAGGTAGCAGAAAAAATAAAAATTTTGCCCGCCGGTTCCTGAAAGGAAAGAAATAACTTTAACATAGGGTTGCCTTGCAATTTCAATGGTTCTGGTATAATCCACTTATCATTAAATAAAGAAAAATATTGGAAGTCCTTCAGCCTAGAAGGTTTTCCAAGCACTTTATTACAAACTCAAGGCAAAATCTGGTTATTTTATTTAAGGCTGGACATTTTACACGACAAAGCTTACTCGTCAGCGCAAAATATCCAATCACCAATAGCGAACAACTGACAAATAGAATTTCGTATCAAGATTTAAAATGCTATTACATACTATTACAATTATACAATTGATATAATTATCTATATTAATATATAAATAAATGCTTTTGAATCTCTTTCACAGAGTATTATTTTCCAACAGTGAGAGTATGAAAAAATTTAATACTTGTGAATAAAAAAGACAGTAAGTTTTCAAAATCAGAGATTAATTACTGAAGGAATGAAAAATAATTTGCTACTGCAGTTTATTCCTATTATTAAAATTAGAATAACGTTGTATATTCTTTAATTGTCCCATAATTAGTAATTACCTCTAATAACTAGGACTGGGCTATAAATCGATGTATCGAGACATATCGATTTAACGCATATATCGNGCGATGCAAAACTGACGATATATCACGATATATAATTTCTAATATCGCCCAGTCCTACTAATAACCCATTACAATTGAAAAACTTATTAATATATTTTTAGAAAATAAATTAACTTTCCACAGTTTTTCACTTCACTTATTCATTTTCTTTTAACAAACTGAAGAACTTCTTTAAATTTAATGAAATCAGCTTTGCAGTTTTATCAGAGCATATTTTTACAACATGTGCAAATGATGCATAGATCTGAAACATTTTAGATTGCTGTGAGTGATGCAATGATAGGTAAACTTTTTGCTCAATAAAAATCTCATTTAAATACCAAAGAACTAACTTAATGCATAGATACAGTACTGCAATATTTAAATAGTAAAAACTGAACTACGAATAAAAAAAAAAAGATTCATTGAAAAATGTTTTGTTTGCACATGATACGAGTTGTGGTTGAAGGTATGATTTTATAGGTTTAAAAATGAATGAATATTTATTTCAAATAATACTTAGATGGTATAAGATAATTTAAAGACATCTTCAAAATCTATGTTGAAACATGTTAAACCCTTTTTTTTTTTTTTTTTCTGTAGAAAACCTGAAATATCCTTAATTAACATCACTTATTTGAAAAAAATTATCCATATAATGTACATCTTCGAGCTTAAAAAGAACAAACATATCATAAGGATAAACCATTAATGTAATGGACTAATTTATTTATAAATTTATTTTATAGGTTTCATCTGGGGAAACATCTTGGGAATGTTCCAGTTGCCACTCCAAAAATAATGGTGATAAAGATAAGTGTGCATCCTGCAGTGCTGCTCAAATAGATAAAATCAACAAGAATAATATTGTAAGATTTGGTTTTATATTCTGTTGGTTTATAACACAAAAAATTTATTGTGGTTGAATAGATATTAAAATTTTGAAAAAAAATTTTTGTTTTTCTCTTTTAGGATTTACCTTTGAAAGAAATACTTTGGAATTGTTCTAGTTGTCCTACCATAAATTCAGGTGATATAGCAAAGTGCATATCCTGCGACAGTCTCCGAGAAAATAAAAGTGCGTCAGGTAGTGCGTCAGGTTTTTTTTTTAAATGTTTCTCATCTTAAAAGCATGCATCGTTTTATAAGAAATTTGTATTTTTACATAACTTAATTAAACCATAGTTCTAATAACCATATCATTTCCTTTTATGTTTAATTATTTCATCCATCTTATAAGAAATTATTAAACTATTTTCGCAGTGGCTTATTACATTTGGGGAACAGGAATTTCTCAGAGAACAGCTTTCCAGAACATTCTGACACTTCTCCAAAAGTTTTTTTTGTTTGAAATATCTCCCAAATTTTTTTGTTTTTGTTTATTTTTTTTTTTATCATTTTCAATAACATTTAAATACCTTTTTCAGAATATTTTTTTCAGAAATTAGTTTTTACTTTGCTAAAATTTTTTGATAATGATTTTTGCTCTAACACAGAAAAAGTTCATTTGATATTACAGATTTCTTTAATGAACTAGCATATCTGTTAAAAATAAAAATATATTACAATAGTAAAAATTTATAAAACAAAATTTAAGATCCCTTTCATGAGCATATGAAATTCATTCACATTATTACGCCTGAATACATTAACGTTCTGCGACAATATTGTAGAATGTTACCGAGTTTTTGCAGTAAGATTTTTCTTTTAGGGAGTAAGAAATTTTGGTTTTCTTTTCTGCTGAAATCTTTGAAATGTTTTTTCTTTTCTGTAGAATTATATTCAAAAGACTCCTTTTTCCTGCATTGGAGGGGAAAGAGATGCTGTTAATTTTTTTATTCTCATTTAAGAGTGATGAAAAATAAAGTAAAAGATTTTCTTTTTATTTCTGAAATTTTCTTAATTTTTTTCTTCTTTTTCCTGTTGAATTAGTTTGAAAAGATGCCTTTCTCATGTATTGGAGGGAAATGAAATGCTCTAATTACTGGCTTCAAATTTTAATTTTATATATATATATATAGAATATTTTTAATATATTGCACACATGAAAATTTTTAGTCATGCATTTGAGTCTTCACTTTAACGCTCGCAACTTGTGCCAATTCCATTGTAAATGTGTGTAGTGTTTTTATAATTTTTTCTGTAATTATTGTCAGGAATTTTAACTTGGTTTTTTGAAACCCCAATGTCTTTCATTGCTCAGTTATTATTGATATTCTCGTGATTTTTTAAAAAATACTGATGTTATGGCATGCGAAATTCGAACAGCGGGTTCAAGAAATTGATCTTCCACACACTCAGTTTGCCCTGATATCCTCTTTAATCGATGCCGTGTTTCAATAGTTCTTTCGACAGTTATTGCTACTAAGTTTCAATTTTAAAAAGGCAAATCCCATTATATTTTATACAATTTACCAAATCTAAAAAACGAAATAACTATTGTGTTACCCTATACAAAATAGAGCTAATCATAATATTAGAATAAAAAAAATATTACATTTTCAATTAAAAAAGTTTTTATTTTATCCAATCATAGTTTTTTATTTTGTAAACACAAATGTTTTTGTTACTTTAAATTAGTAACATGTATATCTGTTATTATCATAAGTATCTCACAGAAAGATATTAGCACTAGAGAGGTTTGTGGCAGAAAGCCAGTAAAAATTCTGCCACAGGATTCTCCATTCCTAGCTTATACTGTTTTTGAATCAATAATAAAAAAAAAATTGGATTTGCTGCAAGTTTTTAATATATTCTTATCTCCCAATAAACCATTCATATAATTATTTTGTAAGATCTTTTTAGCACGTTTTAATGAATTCTGTACAAAAAATAATTGTGGGAATTATATTTTTAAAAATATTTGGAGTTTTGAAATTTATAAATGGTAGAAAAAATTATATTTATTAGCGTTATTTGCAGCCAACTATTCATTAGTTAACATTGTTAAACTTCTGAGCCAAGAAAAATCTGAAGCCCACTTTCTCTTAGGGCAGTGGTCGGCAAAGTGCGGCTCCAGAGCCGCATGTGGCTCTTTAGCTCCTTAAGTGCGGCTCTGGCGCAAATATCCACGGAAGGAGCAATAATATTTTCATTTAAAAAAAAACTTGGTAAAGAAAAAATTACTTCTTATTTTGATAAATTAAAATTCTTCTATTTCATGGTAGACATTACGTCTCATCTAAATCAGCTTAATCGTAAACTACAAGGGAAAGGAAACTTAATTTTTTCGACGTTAGAAAAAGTAATAACATTCGAAAACAAATTATCCATTTTTGCTCTGGATTTTGAAAGGGAAACATCGTTTCACTTTCCGAGCCTGCTGAAGCATTGCTAAGAAAATAATTCCTCTATTGATAAACACCATTTTAAAACAATAATTTTAAATATGAGGGAAGCATTTCTCAGCTGGTTTCAGGAATTTAAAAACAGCAGAGCAACTTTAGCATTTGTCAAAAATCCTCTTAATGCTACGATAACAGAGTTGAAATTTTCTCCTTTTGAAATTGACATTGGTAGCTTTGAAACACAATTGCTGGATTTAAAAAATAAGGAGATACATGGCTGTCTAAATTCGAACGTTTTTGTGTTGAAATGGAAATATTGGAGTAGAAAAAATTTCATCTTAGTTCACAGCACAAGTGGTCTGCTTTGAATGACCTGGAGAAGGAAGACACGATCATTTTCAACGCTTGGAATAAATAGTATTCCTTACTCTTACGATCAGCTGAGAAAGCTTGCATTTGGTGCTCTTTCCCTTTTGGGTTCTACATATATATGCGAAGAAACTTTTTCAAGTATGAACATTGTCAAGAGTAAACCGAGAAGTCGTCTTATTGATGAGAACTTGGAATCATGCCTAAAATTAAAAACAACAACATACAAACCTGACTTACTCAAACTTTCCAAGGAGATGCAAGCACATTGTTCGCATTAATAAATATTTATTAAGTATGAAATTTAGTTTTATTTAGTATACTACTTATTTAGTGTAATAAAAGTTTACTAAACAAGCAGATTTGGCTCCCAATTTTTTTAAAAATTGCTGTAATGTTCATATTTGGCTCTTTGGCTAATAAGTTTGCCGACCGCTGTCTTAGGGGAAGCAAATTAATGACTTTCGTAAATCAACCTTAATTTAAATTTAATTACTGCAATATTAGTTCTTAAATTTTTTTACTTAATTTTCTAACTCTTAAATTATTCTCTTAAAGAATTAAGTTTTATCTTTTAATTCCGACTCAAACTAAACAAAGTCAAAGCAATTTTCTAAAATATTTATATATTTCTTTTAACTCTTTAATTTAACTGAAATCAATATGAATTTCTATTTGATTTGATACTAATGTCAGGGAATATTATTTCAAGATTCTGCATTATTTTTTTTACATCTACTTTATTATTATTTTTTGAACTATCAATGCACACATTTAGTAAAAATAATACTACTAATAATCCCCTTGGCAGAATAGCGGCGACATCGTCGCAGAACATTGCAGAGTTTTTGCAGAAAGATTTTAGTCCCATTCGCATGATTTTGCCGTCTATCTTTATTTTGGAATTACTGCATGAATTTTACGATTTTTAATTTATGTACAAGTTTTAATTTACTATCGTTTAATTTATTTATGAATTTTAAATTTTGTAATAATTTACAAAATTAGAAAGGGGAAATAATTAGGGCGTTTTTCTACCTATGAAATGCAAGAAAGTGCCAATAATATTAGAATTTTAAAATATATTACTTTTACAATTAAGATTTTCTATACGTTTTTATTCTATACTATCTTCTGTAAGCACAACGTTTCTGTTACTTTAATTTAGTAATTTTTATAATTGAAAGTATCTTAAAAATATATTATTAATGCTAGGGAAGTTTGTCTCAGAAAGCCCGAAATAATTCTGCCACAGGGCTAATAATAATAATTAAATGGAGAAAAAAAACTTTATAAATTATTATGAAAATAATTTAAATATTTTCCTATNATTGAAAGTATCTTAAATATATTATTAATGCTAGGGAAGTTTGTCGCAGAAAGCCCGAAAAAATTCTGCCACAGGGCTAATAATAATAATTAAATGGAAAAAAAAACTTTATAAATTATTATGAAAATAATTTAAATATTTTCCTATTGTAGAAAAAAGCTTCACTGACTTTTTTATTATTTTTCTTTCGTAATTTGCAAAACTGTGACAATTTCCCCATATTTTATTTAAGGTATAATATATTTATGGGTTTGCTATTATTATAAAGCAATCTTTTTAGTAAAATAAAATTACCTATAGTGTTATTGTGAAGAAGAAAAAAAATACGATATGGAATGTAAAAATTTGGACCTGCTGCACCATCAGATAGAAAATCTATATTAAGTTTGACCCCTGTATCGCAGCTGTCCTTACTGTTTAAAAACATGTAACGTAGGAATTAACAATTATTATTCATTAATAATTTTTATTTTGTGTAACCAAATTAAGAATTCCAAGAAATTAAAGTTTTCATAAAAGAATAACATGGAAAAATTCTTATTTAAGCTAAAATATAGTGATTTTTAGAAACATGTTTACTGAATACCTGTTGTATTTGAATACAATTAGTATTCTGTGGATTTCTAATTGTTTACTTTTCTTACCTAGATTTCCCATCAAAAGGAGCTGGTGATGTAAAATCTAAAGATAGCATTGCAAGTTTCAATATGCCTTCTACAACCAGTGCATCCAGTTCTCCATTTACTTTTGCTGCTGTTGCTTCATCTTCTACAACAACTGCTGCTATTCCTGCATCTTTAACAACTACTGCTGTTACTACATCTTTGACAGTTAATTCAGCAATTAGTGCATCTTCAACAACTAATGCTGCTAGTGTATCTTCTGCAATTACAACTACTGCTACTACCAGTACTGGATTTTCATTTGGTGCTACAACTAATGCACCTTCTGCTGGTACTTTTGTCTTTGGTGCCAAAAGTGAGCCTGTTTCTACAGCTTCATCACTATTTAAATTTGGCACAGGTAAAATTAAATATTTTGTGATCAAATTATATCTTTTTCTTCACATTTTCAAAGAAAAAAATTTTTTTTCTTCTTAATTTGCTTTACACAAGTAAAGAGTATAATCGATTCCCATTCATTTATTTGAAATTATTCCAAAAGAATTTTATAATATACTGCTCTGACCATATGAAATTAAACAAAAAAACATTATAAAAAATTATGTGTTATGTTTTAACTTTTTTTGCTAACTATAGAAAGCAAAAAATACATGTATTTGTAAAACTAGATTATATTTTTTAAAAAAAAAAATTCTTTTACTAAGATATATGTATAGAAATCTTGTTATCTAGTTTAATCAAGATCAAATCTTAATTAGATAACTAAATATTTGTATTAAGAGGTCACAGTACCCTTGCAACATTTTTTTTTAAATAAAGGTATAATCCTTCATTTTGTGGGTGCTTTACATGCTCATTTAACTTATAATCAATAATTTATCTTAAAAAAGTAATTAAACTGTTTAATTTTTTAAAAATTTAAAAAACAATTGAAAAAATTCGACATTTTTAAATCCCTAAGGCTTTTTTATTTTAACGTATTTTCAAAAAATGTTTTCTTCTTAATGATTACAATATTCATCTTAACAATTTTGTGTATTCATTTGTTGAAATAACAATTAGACTATTTTTTATAGATTATTGTGTAAAAAAGTAGCAAAAAAAAGGTCCTGTTAGATATACAGTGATACCTCGAGATACGAGTTTAATTCGTTCCGTAACCTTGCTCGTATGTCAATTTGCTCGTATCTCAAAGCAATTTTCCCCATTGAAATAAATTGAAATACCATTAATCCGTTCCTGCCCCAAAAATGCTACCTCCCAATTGTTTTTGTTACTTGTTTTTGAATAAGAAAAATGTATTTATAAATGACAAATATTGTATAAAAACATAATAAAAGAGAATGTAAAGCAAAAAAAACTGGTTTTATAAAGTGTACATACATATTTGTATTTTGGTCACTTAAGTGCAACTTACGCACAACTTAAATGCTACTGTGTGCTTAATTTTAGTCGCTGCTTTTCTCTTCTCTGGTCTTCGCTTTTTTAGCCGGATTATAAAAAAAACTGTCTAAAGAGGTTTGTTCCTTCCTCCTTTTCAGAATGCTGCAGAAATGAGTTAGGCAAGTGTCATTAAATAGCTCCAATGTACGACCAGTTGCAACTTTTTCGGGGTGTTTCTTTTCCACAAACTGAAATTCTCTCCTACATTCCCAAGAACTCTTTTATCTCACTTGTAGAGATAACCTCCTCCACCTCTGGCTATTCCTCGAAACTAATTTCTTGCAGAACCCCCGAATGCTGCTGTAACTGTAACTCATGTAATTCCTCGGTCGTCAGTTCCTGAGAGTGCTCCTCAGTGAGCTCGTTCACGTCTCTCTCACCCATCAGCAGGTCCATGGATTTTCCCAGAGACACAATCTCCTCCTCCACTGGCACTTTGGGTTCGAAGCTACAGACACAGGCGACAGCACAATTTTTGGCTACAGACTCACTCAGGCCACAGCTTCTTCCATGCAGAGGTCAAGGTCCTCGTTGTAACACTCAACCAGGCCTGATCAATATTCCGGAGGCATATCACGATGTTAAAGTGGTCCTTCCAGCCCTCTCGAAGGGTGAGGTTTGTGTTCTCTGTCACCTCAAAGCAGCGCCTGAGCAGGTGCCTAGTGTACAGCTTTTTAAAATTAGAAATCGCCTACTGATCCATGGGCTGCATGATAGGAGTGGTGTTAGGTGGTAGATAGAAAACCTTTATAAACTTAAACTCTTTGTGAATGTCATGTTCGAGGTTCGGTGGGTGAGCAGGAGCATTGTCGAGGACGAGAAGGGCTTGCATGGCCGTTCCTCGTATCTCAAAACAAAACTTCACTCGTTTGACAGCTCGTATCTCAAATAACTCGTATGTCAGGGCACTCGTATCTCGAGGTACCACTGTATATAACATGCTGTAAAAATTGTAATATCTCATAAAATGCTTATTTCATGTACAGTTCAAATAAGTGTATTATGATTGAGATAAAAAAGTTTACTTCAAAACTTTATCTTAAATAGAAGAAATTCCTTAGGGATTTAACTGAGATTAAAACACAAACTTATCTATGAGAAAACGCACTTTAAAGTCTGTCCGCTAAGCAAGTTTCTGTATTAGGGCAATCTAAAATCATTCATAACTTTTTAAAAAATTTAGATGGAGAGATGATTTTTTTTCAGTGCATTTGAAATAGTTTGAAGTTTTATTATAGGCAATAAAAAAATTTTTTTTTGATGTTCTGGTCATTTTTTGGGCACTGTGACCCCTTAATGAAGAATTCCAAATAGGCATACCTGCCAAGTTTCCTGTTTACCCGTATATTCCTAAATTTCTCCGTATTTGTTGAAGAAATTTAAAAAAATAAATAATAATAGCAATTGGTGGTAAAATACCGGGGTGATTGTGGTGGTCCGGAGGTACCCCGGAATTCCTGGTTTTTCATGTTATTGTTGCAGGTTAGAATTGGCAGCTTACCTTTCAGTTTTGTAGAAAATCGCAAATTAAATGGACAGGAATAAAAAGTTCTCCAAATAGTGATAAACGCTCTTTTTGTAGCAATCCTTATGCGTCAAGGATTCTGAAGGCGCCTGCCGGAGGTTAGGGGCAGTAGTGTAAGACTGGGGTAGGGGGTGCAGAGTGTGCGAGAAAGACAGAATTCGTTTCTTCTTTTTTTTTGTGTTCAGAAGGGGAGAGGAAATCATTACTGCTTGGCGAAAATTTTTATAATTAAAAGTAGAGGCTGTAGGTTTTTAGATTATAGTTGCACGCTGCACTACTAAGCAGCAAGTGTAAGAATTTTCCTTGGTGAAATATTTTTTGTTGTATATTCGGCATGCAAATTATTTTTTTTTAGTCATTTCATAAATCACATTTTTTATGAAGTTTTTAACAGAAAAAGTTGATATTAGTGATCTAGAAAAAAACTGCAAAAATAGATTTTGTTTTGAGTGGTTAATTAAAAAAGACATCTTGGAAGAAGAAATCAATGTGTGGTGTGGCAAGATTGTGATACGGTACATATTTCTGTATTACGTGCAATACATTAATGAAATATCACAATGAATGGTTTAAATCTTTGATGAATCATTTTGGAACAGTTATTCATTAAAAACGTCGTCAATCTGTTAGGAATTCCCAGATTTTAAATTCACTACTGATGAACCGTCTAACTCATACTGATGAACCGTGTACTGTCGATTTGGCCACACGAAAATCTAGGGCTGAAACTCTAGTTTTGTCATTTTTGGCTACATATTCAATTCCTTTTTCTTTAGCTCCACAAATTGTTGAGTTAACTAAAACATTATCACGTGATACCATGGCATTAAATTCATTAGACATTAGTTGAGCAACAGCATCATAGAAGTTAAAGTATGGACTTACCAAAACAATAAAAGAAAATCAGTACTAAGTATTTAAAAAATATTTTTTCCCTCAACATTGATGAGAGCACTAATAGAGCCTCTGAGTTTATTTATTGTTTTTTATTTTTAATAAAATATTTAGTTTTTACTTTAAATTAATTTTAAACTTTCTGTCAGTTTAGTTGCGCAATATAAGTACTCCGTGTAATAAAAATTATGAACAATTTTATAAACGTTTAAAAATTATATGTATGTTTTTATTACAATTGAAATGTAGTTAGTTGTGTAAAAAAAAAAGTGATTGTAAACATGGAACTATTTATTAAGTTTCATTGAAAACTAAAATTTCTTTTAATTTATCTAATAATTATTAGAATAAAAAATTTATTGACACTAATTCTATTAGAAATACATTCAGAACAAAAGCTTAATTTCTATTTATTATTTAATCAATTTTATTAATTAATTTTAACATGCAGTTCCAAATATGTGTTTAAAACTATTTGTATTTTACATATTGTATGTAAAATAATTGAGTTTTTACATATAAAATTTTCAGGGTTTATCACTGTCACAATCACCCCTGAAAATATCCATTGATGGCAAAAATACTCCTCTTATTTCTCTGCAAATGCTGCTATTGCCAGTTCTGCAGTATGTTGAAAGTCGAACCATAATAGCTCATTGGATAGAGCTTTCGCCTTCCAATGACGATTGAGATGGCTGATCTATACGAATTCCGCATCCAGCTTGCATCGACCACAGTGATGTAAAACATCCTCATTGGTAGACAGATCACAGGTTAGAGTCCTCTTGCCGTCAGGCTAACCGTTGGAGGATTTCATGGTTTTTCTTCTCCATGTAGCTCAAATGCAGACTAGTTCCATCAATAAGTCCTCCATGAATGCAAATTTCTCCCTATACTTGATCCAGGAATTCCCTTTTCTGAATTGGTTAAATTATTACAAGGCTACGGAGTTGATCATTAGTAGTCGAAAACACAAAATTGGATTGGCTGTTCCACAATGGTTATAAAATAAAATAATTTAAGTAAATATAAATGGTTTTAAAAAAGTCTTTAGATTAAGATTTATATACACTGTATTAAGATTTATATTTTGAAATTTTTCACAATCTAGAAAAAATGTTCCATAAAATTATGCTTTTTTAACAAAAAAAAAATTAAATTGAGCATAAATATTTTTTAAAAGAGGCATTGGGATCTTAGATTGAACTCAGGTTATAAATTAACTTTATATAAATATTTTTATTAATTTTTTTTGTAGCCACTCTTTCTACTTCTAAGCCTTCAACAACTGGCTTTGAAAATAACTTGTCTGCAGCTGCTGTTGCGCCCTTCCAGTTTGGTAAATCATCTGTTGCAACGACAACTGCTCCCACATTCGGAGCTGCTAGTAACACTTTTACATTTGGAGCAGCTAAAAGTGAATCAAACAATTCTATCAAACCTACAGTTTCTTCATCTCCTGCATTTGGTACTTCACAATCAGTGTTTGGCACTGCTGTTAGTAATGCAATGTCTACCTTTGGGACATCTGGAGGACTGAACCTTGCTGCTCCGACTGTCTCCAAAACAAATCCTCTTTTCCAGTTTGGAGCTAATGTAAGTCTGTACTTCATATTCTTATATTCTTTTTAGTATTTTACAAGGTGTAAAAATGTGGTTTCCTTATTAAATATAACATGTTTAAAAATAAACAATTACATACATGCCAACTTTTACGCATTTGGAGTGGTAGTAAAATGTATGCTTTCTATATATTCCTTGTATTTATAAACTTAATTTAATATCTTTTTGACCACCAATATTTTTAAGCGTCTATATTAATGTGTAATAGTGTCACAAGTGTGCATCAGCTTTTTCAAAATACAGCGTATGTTTCTACCTAAAATTTGTAATTCAAATTCTATTTTGCTACCACTGGGGAAAATCTTCCTTGAAACAATTAAAAGTTGGCAGGTATGCAATTATGTAATCCTATCAGCATAATTTCTCTTAGAGAAACTTGTTAAGTTTAAAATTTATATTATAGTAGAATATATTTTCTTAACTTACTTTTTTATTGATTTAAATTGCTAGAAATATTTCAATGTAAATTTTTTTTTAGTTCATGTTGCACAAAATTTTGATGATAATGATATGATCTTAAAAGGTTTTTTTTTTTATTATATGTAATTTGAAAAATATATATGTTTTTAATTTTTGGATTAATTTTTAGCTTACATGTTTAAAAACCTATCCCTAAACATTACAAAAATTCCAGTACTGCCACCTGGTGTATAGATGAAGAAATAAACATGATTCCCAACAAAAGAAATAGATTGTTCATATCTTTTTGGCACATTACTGATGTTGAACCCTACTGCCCAGAAATATCACAGGCGCAAGAAATAGGGGATGGAACTACACCCTGTCAATCCGACAGGAGTGAAAAGATAGTGGTTAATGTTTGAAAGAATAAATCTTTATTTTTAGTTAATATGCAAAAAATTTTATTAGAAATAGCTGTTTAATTAAAAATTATCCATCTATTTGTTTTACCACAAATCATTCGTTAAAGGTTCCTATAAGCCAGAGAAAACACAAAATATCTAATTTGTATTCTCCCCCTTGGATTTAATATTCGCTGAATAAAGAATTGTACGGTTTTGCAGCAAATAAGTGATAGTATTATTATTTATGTAAGTAACCTTGGAGGTTAAAAGTATTAGTTACAATATCTATTATAATTTAATGCAAATATTATACTGTTAAGTGGTTAAATCGAAATATAAATTTGTTCAAAATAATAAATTAACATTTCCTTACTTCAAATAACTTTTTAGATTTTATGCATTGAATAACAGTTTTTGTATGCAAATTAGAGTGTTAAAAATTCAATAGAGAAATTTTTTTAAAAGAGACTTGGAAAAATGAGAATATTCTTTTTTGTTGTAGCTGTCATTAAGCTGAATTTGAAATATTTTATAAATAACTTAATTACAGTCTTAGCTTAACCTAATACTAATAATTTTTTATTATTTGAACACAAAAGTTGATTTAAAGCATTTTTGTAGGCTCCATCTGCTGAAGCATCTTGGGAATGTTCTAGTTGCCGTGTGAAAAATAATAGTGATAAAACTACATGTTCATCTTGTGGTACTCTTCGACAAGAGAAAAGCATTTCAGGTAATAGTCTCCTTTCAAAATTTAATATTGTATTTATTGAGTAGCATGCACTGATGGTTTAGATCAGGAATCGTAATGATTTTTGCATCACGATATTTCATTACATTTAGTATTGCTCGAGTTTGAATTCTTGCACATTTTGGGTATTTGATTTATTAGGGCAATTATTCTTGTAATAAACTCAATCCTCTGTATTCTAACAAATAAAGTGTCAGAAAATGATATAAAATTGACTAGTTATCAATAATAAATTGTATATATCTAAAAAAAAAATTAATAAATCATATCAATAACACGATACAAATCATCAGTAACAAGACACCACATTGAAAAAATTAAAAAAGAAGAAAAGGCAGAACAAATTGCAGCTGTAATTTAAATACATTAAATCAAGATGCAAATGGTGTGAATATTCATTAAAATCTTTATGAACAAAAAATATAAATGGCAGGGAGTGGGAAATATGTGCCATTTATTAAATCTTCTCCGAATCCTGTCACAAAATGTTGAATAACTTATTTTGATATATATTAAATTTTTTAGTTAAACTTTAATAACAGTAAGTGTTTTTTAGTGCCACTGCTAGTTATCTTAAATGTTTTACATAAATAAGACACAACTAGAAAAATCAGTCCTAGTCTGTTTAAAAAACAAAAACAAATTAAGGTATATTTTAAACTAAATGCTTGATAAAGTGTCTTAAGTGAGTTTCAATCATATCTTAGCATTGTATGAGTTAAACTGATTTTATTTTATAATTAGATATAACCCAAATACTATTTTTGTCTTGCTTTATCAACTTAATTTGACAAAATGAATTTAATTACCAGGTTTTACATTCAAAGGAACCAATGATGCAAAATCAAACACCAGTGCCCTAAATTTCAAAGCAGTCGCTACAACAAGTTCTCCCTCAAGCGGATTTACATTCAATGCCCCTTCAACAACAACTGCTGCTTCAACTGGTTTTACATTCAGTGCAACACCTGCATCTTCTACTGGTAATTTTGTGTTTGGAGCAAAAAGTGAGGCAACTACTGCATCAACACCATCTTTTGCATTTGGTTCTGGTAAGAAATTAATTAAAATAAATTATTTACTGTTTTTTAATCAGATCATTTGCGTGTAATTAAGCGATCCAATTGATGCAAAAGTGTGAACTGCTGTTATAATACTAAGTGTCACTTTTAAGTTTAAGAGAAATATGTACTAGTGTAAAATAATGAATTAGGAATCCTCAATGGAACTTTTAAAATTGTAAAGCAATTCTACTTTTGCTACTTTCAAATTTTATAGCGAAAATTAATACACTTAAAATAATAATAGTTAAATACATTTAAATTAAAAGATGTTAAGGATGTAACTTGTTTCTTGACAGATCAATACTATTTGAGGTAAGAAAACAGACCAAAACGAAACAGCATGAAAACAGTAAAATTTAAAAATAATTGATTTTTATTTTCTTTATATTAAGTGGAAAGAAAATTTTTTTAAATTTGTTCTTTTACAAAAAAAGTGCATTTAATGCATGTAATTTATTAACGTCTTTAGAATTTTGTATCACGTCTCTATATCAAAACCTTCAAAAATTTGAAGTGAAAAAAAAAACAGCTACAAAGTTTGAAATTTTTTTCTTGAATTCTTTGCTCTATAGTAAACCATTTCACCAATATAATGCTATACTTTTATTTTAAATTTGTTAACAATTAATAAATGCTATTACTTCTTATGATTAATAAATATTTAGGACAATTTTATTTTATTCGTTTTTTTTTAATGAAATCTAATATCATTGATAATAAATCATTTGTTTGCCCAAATACCAAATTGTTGCTATTTTTAGTCCAGTTGATTGAAAATTTTGCATTTGGCCAAATGAGAACATATCTATAACATCCTTTGAATGTATTAAGTTATTTTTTGACAATGTTTTATATCCAACAAAAAAGCTAATTTAATTATAATTTTAAAATTAAACAAAAAAAATTTCTTAAACAGGAAAAAATATGTATATGATATAGATTTTGTTATATCTATTGTAAATTTTATCATTGTATTGTGTAAGAATATAAATTATATTTAAAAAATATGCTTAAATGTTATATCTGTGCAACTACTATTTCTGATTATCAAAATGTCGTTGATATAAATGTTAGTTGTGTTATCAGTGGCAGTCGTTTTTATGAATATTTTAGTCTTATTATTTCTATCATGCAAAAGGATAAATATTAATATGTTTTAAAAATTTACAAATGTTCTTTCATAGGAAGTGCTTCAACTGCCAAGCCTTCAATTACTACCTTTGAAAATAATTTATCATCAACTCCAGCTGTGCCATTTCAGTTTGGAAACCAGCCTACTATTGCAACTAGTGCACCCACTATTGGATTTGGTGGAGCTGCTAGTAGTGCTTTTGCATTTGGAAATAAACCAGAAACTGTTAACTCTCTTCAACCAGCAGCTAGTTCTACTCAAATGCCTGTGCCTGCATTTGGTAGTGCACCTACTCAGCCGATGTTTGGAAATTCAACAACTCCCGCTTTTGGAAAACAAGCTCCAGGGGGTTTCAATTTTGGTCTCCCCACTTCTTCCAACTCAACTCCTGTCTTCCAGTTTGGAGTGGTAATATGCTTTTAGTTGTCATACATTTTCTTAAATTAGAATTAAATATATAAGAAATATAAAAGTGAGGG